TTCGGCGAGGCCAGGGAGTTGACCAATCCCGAGGGAGAAAAATTATTGTTTGTAACCGAAGGTGCATCCACCAGTTTGGAACGAGGTCTTGCCGAATCCACGACAGAAGGTTTGTTTGATGTAGTAGGGAAGGTGGAAGCTGTATTGGGCACTGAGAGATGCTTCTCATGCTTGAGCTCCTCGTGTGGCTCGTCCATGCGATCCACAAGATCCCGAATGTATCCTTTTGAGGGCCCTCTCTTTAAAGGGACACGAGAAAATGTGCAGAACTCGTTGTTTTTCGAGCAATTATTGCATATTTTCGTCACTCTCAGAAGTGTGGTCAGGTACTTGGCGTCACAACGAATCTTCTTACGGCGACATGAATCACAGGCACGGGAAACTTTAGATCTTTTCCGAGGAACAATATCAGCTTTTTGGTCAAGCGTCGAAGTATCGAGTACTTCAGGTGCTTTCATAACCACGGTTTCTTCCGACGCCATGTTGGAAACAAAACTTTTGAGATTGGGAGTTGTGGGGACTTTTTTCTGGATGAAGGGAAGTTAAAAGCGCTTCGAAATAAGCAGTCACGGGGAAATGGCTTTGGTTCAAGAGGAACGGGGTACAATCACAAGGTATCTTCTTACGATTGTACTCCATGTAAACTCAATGAAGTTTGAAGGAAAAAAATGCGGGGCGAAGGTTGGGTCTTACCATGAACGGATTTTTATTTTCTCCGTAATTGTGACGAAAATGCCGTCCCATGCACAACCACTTTTTTGCAAGTATGGGGGTGGGGTCAGTGCCGGGGAAATGATCACGTGTGCAGGGTCTTTGGCCATGGTTGTTATTTATTTTACAAGCTATAGTACAAATAGTTCTCGGAAAGGAAACCGAGGACGTCTAGGATACTAATTGTATATTTGGGTTTTCCATCTCCTTTTCTTCTTTTTTGCAAATCTGTAATGTGTAGAAAGGGTTCATGGGGTCTGGTTTCGTACCCGGACCTGAAGACCCGGGGATACATACAAGTGCGCGCATAGAGTATTACGGAATAATCTTAGCGGAGAAAAAAAAAGAAGCAACTACGGAAGGAAGTATATTCTGTACCCATTCTCCTTCAATAATAGTTGCTGCCAGTCTTGTTTATGGAATGGTGTATTTTGTAGGATAATCCGGAAAAACCCCCCACTTCGCTTCGCACAGACTGTACCGTACGCACGGCGTTGTGGGGCGTCTGCAGTACCGGCATCCGATTGCTAGGACTGTTCCGATTCAACATAAATGGAAAGGGTCGCTTCAAACACCATTGAAATGGAGAATTTATGGCGCAATCTCTGAGAGAGGGGAATATAACTAATTCTTGCTTATTGCCACTACTATTCATTACAACTAAGTTTTCTTGTTAGGACGCTTATGCATTCCTAGAACTTCTCATGCGCGGATACTTGAAGATCATGAGTTCCACAAGTCTGCAGGTCAGCCAAATATCACTGTTTCTACACCTTCTGATCCCGAACAGGAAATTACTACGCCGCAAGTGATCACCTTATACTTGCATAATAGGCTGAATGGATGATAGTCTATTTCGGATCAATTCCCCATTTGACAAAATCGCTTAACCCGCTTTGTCTCAGCCTTACTTTTGCTCTTTGCTTACTAGCTATTCTTTTTGAACCTTGCATCTCTTCTTCTTTTGTGTACCTGCTCTTTTTTTTCTCTCCGTTGTTTGTTGAGTCTGCCGCTCAACTGACGGTGGCGTTGTATTTTAGCATCTACTCAGAACAGCGCGCTATTGCTCGGTAGACAAAACAACTTGTGGTACTGCGTATAGATTTTGACTATCAAGCGTCTGCATTCTTTTATACTACTGATCTCCTCTTATTGGAGATGGCTAATGCCCGAACCATCAAACGCATAGTTCCGCTACTCGTAATATGTGGCTTAGCATATATCAATTATGCCGCGTGTTATATCGTTGGCCATAACGAATTGTACCGCCATCATCTGAGAGGCGCAGCCTTCGTCTTATGGATACTTTTGGGTATACTAGAAGCATCGTTGTTTCTCTACTGGGGATTGATTCTACTTCGTGGGCCAGCAAAATGCCCCCAAATACAACCTTTTGATATCCATAATACAGGCGATCCTCTGCTTCTGCCTTTACCACTGATCTTTGTATGCGATAAGCAGGGATATCCGTTTTGGTGTGGAACATGTCAAAGTATCAAGCCCAGCAGACTGTTTCACCTGAATGATACGACATATTGCTGCTTGCGCTTTGACCATTACTGCCTTTGGATCGGCTCTTCAATCGGACGAGATAATCAAGTGCCGTTCATCAAATTCGTGTGCTTTTTTGACGCATTTTTCATTCTCATTTTAGCATGTGTTGCATCCACCACCAGACTGGCATTCAAAAGATCGAAAAGCAACTTACCACACTATATCATACTTTACGTTCTTTGCCTTTTCTGGATCTTGATGACTCTGATTTTGCTTGTAATGCAATTGGTGTACATCACCAAGAACTGGACTACGATTGATGAAATCACCATCAGACAGGCAGTGAAATATTCTCGATGGGAAAGAAGAATGCGTAAGAGGAATTACAAGACGAACTTCTTTTCTCCTGCTCCGCCTAGAACAGAATTGGGAATTAGGTATGTCAACGTTGCTCATGAAGGACGAAGAGTGGTTGTTTCCTATAGTACCAAAGATCTTGCATTTTCCCAAGGCTTTCAAATAAATCTCATAAATTTGATGCTCAATGGCAATCGAAACGACAACCTTGTGGGAAGGGAAGATAACGCTTCAGAATTTGTGAAAGCATTACTACTTTTACTCGTGCCGTATGTGGATATTTTTATGTGTAAACCACGAATGACTCTACCTACATACGACGATTGCTCCGATGAATTCAGTCCCTTTTTCATTGACAACATCAAGTCAAAGATTAAAGAACAAAAATTTGAGTTGCCTCTGTATGATCAAACAACTAAAGCCCCAGAAGAACCCACAATTGAAAAGCCGTCAACCTAAGCATAAAACGATGCCCCATTCCCTAATCATATCCATGAAACCGTTATTCTCTTTATCTTCTTCCCTTCTTTTCCACACTTCAAATAAGATTTGCTTCGATCTCCAATAGTTGTACCTAGTGAAACACTTTGCTTTCCATAAATCTTGGCATTTCTGCTTCAAAAATTTGTTAGTTGTTAGATCAATGTCGCAACCACATACTAACAACGGCCAAAACGAAGGAGAAAAGGATGTAAGGCTGATATCTTGTACAGAATTAGCACTCATGGCTATCAACTTTTCTAATGCATCAAAACACGCTTCAATATTTTCTTGGTAGCTTTCAATGGGTGAGCCAGGTATTAACCTTTTGTAATATACCAACAATGCGCTATGAAAACTAGTCACATTGTAAAATAAGCCTTCATGGAACTTCGAAATGAAAGTCTTGGTCGCAACATTGGAGATCGGATTGTATTCGTTGTCATAAAGTTTCCAATAATTCTCTACATTCCAGTTGATAAGTCGGTCTTCAGTCTCTGCACAAATTCGTGGGAAGTTACGAGGTGTTACTCCTTTCGTTCTGAACACGTTCTTGTGATTTGTTAGCTGGATCACTTCATGAAAGAGCTCGATCAAGGATTTGGGTAAACCAAATGTAAGGTAAACCGAACTGTCCTCAATGTTAGGAGTGATGGGATGCGTACTAGACGATGATTCCAATAGAGAATGCTTCGGGATTTGGTAGTCTTGATCACGAATGGCTTTGCTTTCAGCACTCGTAAGCAGATCTTGTTGATTTCTTTTGTTGAAGTGAATTGTGAAAGATGGCTGATGTGATTCGCTCTCTAACGAATCCACCCTAATAACATGGGAAGAATTTCGGTCATCCAATTCATGTTCTTCACTCTCACTCGAGTCGAATTCATCTGCATAAGAAGCAGTCCTTTTTGAAAGATCATAGTTTTCGTTCAAATCCAGATATTTGACCATGCGATCTGCTTCCAGAATAGAATAGTTGAAAAAATTAATAGCCTGTGTGGATTCATAAAAGATGTTGAGAATGTTTAAAAAATGTCGAAGGTACCTTTCAGTGTGGGACATGCGACTAGGAGGTTTCCATCTGCTCTTTTCCTTCAATATAAAATCACCAATTGCAAAGTTTAGCTCGTAGTTTTCGAAAACACCAAACGAATTATCTAAGTGAATCTGAAGAATTAATGCGAGAAGAAGATAGACGTTATAAAAATCATTTTGTGGATACAGTGAGTTATTATCGTACTCATCAAGATGATAATCTAATACAGTACAACCAAACTTTCGAAGTTCTATGCTTAACTTTAAGTCTTCATCCACATGAAATTCATCATCTGCATTCCTTGGAGATTTTTTGTTTGAGTTTAAGAATTTATGGAAAGTACAAGATGCTAAGCTCATGCAAAGTACACCAAACCGCAAGTTTTTTAAAAGCTTTTCTCTAGGGACATCCGTCTCTGATCGGTCAATGAGATATGTATCCCAATTACCCAAACTTGAGTACTCTTCACAAACCAACTCAAAAATATTTTGTTTCAATAAGGGAACAACTAGAACATCCCAGCCAGAGTTAACAGTTTTAATGTGAATAAAATTGAAATGCTCAGAGGACAAGAACAGCACGGTTTCACCAAGCTTGGAAAAAATGATTATCTGTTTGTTCTTGCGTGTGAAGAAGTTTTGAAAAATTTGAATATTTGGCAGCCAGTCATCTGAATCAACATTGGCAAAAAACTTCGGATAAAGAATGTGGAACATGCTTTGTTCGCTGAATTTGTATGCGCTTCCTTTGATTGCCACAATTGTGAGCTTTGCTGCATCAAGAAGCTCATAATGCACAAATTCATTATCCGTATTAGAAAAAATGGAACCAAACCGCTCAGTAAAGCTGGAATCCTTCTCTCGTTTGCGTATTGATGAATCGACCATTCCATCTTCCATCAGATTTCGACTGTCTGAGGATGCCATCGACATAGATTCCAATACAGGAACGTTCTTTTTGAATATTTTTCTTGTACGATAAACGCCAAATGGACCAGAGAAGTAGGCTTCTGATTTCAAGTTTTTGGAAACATCATCTAGCTGCACCACGACGTGGTTCAATTTTGCATAGCTCTCAAACTGCATGCTTTTTGGGAACTTGACAAGCTCAACATTACGTCTCAGCCAGCCGCTTTCCTTCTTTTCCTCCGTATTTGTTCTGGACATGGGGATCGTAACGAGTTCATTGTTTTCTCCAACGGTAATACTATCCGCCCACGCAAGAACGATACCGTAGCCTTTACATTCAAGCTTGGCCTTTTGGCACCGCAAACAGATGGGCTTCGTAGCGTCACATTTTATTTTCCTCAAACGACATGTCCAGCAGCCATCAAAATTTCTAGAGCGCTTTCGCATAGAATCAAGAGGAATTCGCGATTGTTCAATCTAATCTGAAGCTCGATCTGGGGAAAGATGGAGGAGTGTGTACAATTTGTCTTCCAATGCAGATACCCCATTTAAGGCCCGAATAAATAAAGACACACCGACCTTGAGCTATTGACAACCTTGTAAATAAAGTATTAGCTTAATATCAAACAACAACTGTGGATGAGAGAATTGTAGAGGGAAAAAATCAAAAGCGTAAACAGACTTCAGGACCATAGCACTAAAGTAGTACTATTGGGAGAGATATGAATGGGTATGAGTGGTAGGTGAGACGAGGTTTTCTTTTGAGGAATGAATGTGACTTCTATTATTGTGCTCTGATGCGTGATATGTCAAGAAGCTAATAAAATACATACATGCTGAGAGAATTGAATGCCAGTTTATCAGCACACTCTTCGCCCTGTCTATTGCGGGTTCATGTAAAGAACTTCAACGCTCAGTCAATAGTGATATCGCAAAATTTCATCTTTTCCCTTTGTGAACAATACACACAATGTCTATCCCTGTGGAAGTTTCGGAAGAATTCGACCCTTCCATTCCGGCTATCCTTCCGCATGATAAAGTCTACTTGATTCAAGTTGGTTACAAACTTTTCAAATTGAGTGGAGCTTCATTACTGTCAGATGCGCCTTCTTACTTCACCACCTACTTCTTGCAAGAGGAAAACAAAGATTCTGTATTATTTATTGACAGAAGCCCGACAGTGTTTGAAAAGATCTACAATCACTTACAAGGTTATCACATCAACATAGAAAACGATTATGAATTCGTTTACCTATTACAGGATAGTTACTACTTTTGTCTCAAGAGACTTCAACGACTGCTTAAGCACGACAACATTTTCGCTAATATCGGTGGAAAATCTTTCAAAATTCCAAAATCTTTATTTGTACAATCAGGGAACTATCCTAATTTTTTCCTGGTACATTATGAGAGCCTATTCGTTGACAATCGGCGGTTGATCCTTGCTAAAAACACAATTAGACCACCACCTCAAATGCCACCCAGTGTTCCCAATCGGTCCGCTGAGCTCTTTTCTGATTTGTTGGAAATCCTCCGCGGGAATACAGTTAGCATAAGGAATGACGAGCATCGTGCTCTTTTGATAAAAGAATGCAGATACTATCGTTTTGTGGAGTTGGAGCAACGGATTCTCAAACATCACATCTTATTCAATCCCATCACCAAAGAAACTGAAATTATCATGAACTTGAGAGATTTACAAAGTCGTGGAATAGTGAACAGATCAAGAGACATCAAGACGGAGCTTCAGGTCCAATATTGCCGTCCGCATATCAGAAAGGAACCCTTGCGGAATCTAATTATCCAAATAGATTCTACACCTGATTCTGAGGTCAAACTCATATTGAATAAGCACACGAATGTTCCGCTCCTAATATGCACCAATTCAGTTGCGCATTCGTTTGTTCACGTCTTTAGAAACGTAGCCCTTAAGTTCACTAGCGATCTTGAAAACAATACTTTGGGACTACTTTGTGGACTATCGAAGGCAAAGGTCGTAATAAATGATCAGGAGTTGAAAGAGGATTGGTTTGCGGACTTTTTTGAGTCTACTGATAAGCCAGATGCAAAAAGAAAAAAATCAAATGAGAATCGGTGCCAAGGCGATTTCGTCGAGTTCCGGCTTATAAGATCGCTATGGCGTGTTCTCATAAGGGGTGATCTTGGCAGGTTACACGCTGTTTCTATAGAAGGGCTGACCGATCAGGTATTCTTGAACAAGAGTATTGATTTCATTTGAATATTGCAAACTATTTGATAATGACCTACTTTGAGAGGTAAGACTTTTTACCGATGAAGTAGTCAAGAAGCCTTTCTGATAGTTATCGTTGGAGAACACACATTACCAGATACAAATACTTCACTGTTGACTATGCATTTGTGAAGCTTGACGAGAGTGATACGTTAATATTAGAGAATAAAATTAGACGTGCATTCATTATCACGTTAATTTAATTGACATGTTGTGCAACCATATTAGGCATTGCCCAACATTTGTACCCAAGAATCTTCGCCGCGTAACAGATTCCCTCTGTTTCTATCCCATCGTAGCCTTCTTCCCTTTGCCATGTTGTTCCAATAATGTAATAAGGTGGAAATGTCACTCCTTGCTTAAATATAAGCGACTTCATAAAAAGAACAGCTCCTCCAACAGAGTCTAGTTCTATTGTGTAATCGGGACGTGCCAAGTTTGGGTCAGACTGTGGTGACTTTAGCTGTTTCAAGTGGTCCCCTAGATGATACATCTTCCCTGGTACATCTTTAGGAATAAATTTGAATTTAGACCACTCGTTTCGGTCCATTATCTCGAGTTCTTGTGGTGATGGAGTCTTTCTTTCCCCACGCCACGAGTTTTTGTCGTAATCCATTAATTTCCCTCTTTGCACCCTGGGAACTATGATGTCTTTACCGCTGGAAATGAAATGTTCAAGCATCTCAGGATTGTCAAACTTCTCCACATCAGCATCTAAGAATAACGTATAGGGCTCGTTCTCCAAGGCGCTGAATAGTATGAAGTTTCTAGCCCTTGCTATCAATCGCCGGCGCTTTCTCTGCACTTTTGGACTGTGTTCCGAAGCTTTAAATGGGGAGTCGAGGAAAGGTGCCCTAATTAGGGTGACTCTGCCGAACTCCAGTTCGCTTTGCTGATCAAACATCTTCTGAGTTTCTGTGATAACGCTCTCATACAAATCCTGAGTACCACAGAAGAATGCTAGGTTGACTTCCCGTCTATCATACTTGAGAGACCTTATTAGATTCACAAAATCCTCAAATGATCGACCCGAACCGAAAGAATTGCTATTCGCCAACAGTGACACTATAAGAACAGATTGTTGCGATCGTGTGCTCTTGAGTCTGTTATTGATAAATACATCTTTCGTGAAGTCTTTAGCTTCCGTAGTTACTTGCTGATACTGTGATTTTTCTTCGTCATTTTGCACTGCAGGATCGTGGCCCTCGTTTCCTTCGTTGTGAGTTTTGATCGGTTCGATGATTTTGGAGTCTGAAGCGGTGTTGGATGTTTCTGGAACTGGGTAAACCTCTGTGTACTTCAGATACAATTTTGATGAAAATGCAAAACAAAGGAGCACCGCTAGGGTAATAGTTAGGTATTTGTTGAATCTTTTGCTCATACTGGGAAGAGCGTAGTATCAGAGGTTTACATGGTATAGAATCTTAATCGCGATTATCCAAAGCTTAATGGAAGCTTCGCACATAAAATGAAAAAAGCAAGACTTTTGAATGGAATCTACAAAAGAAATTTAAAACTGAAGTTGTACTCTCTAATAATCGTCTACTCTCATGCGTCATAAATGGTAAATCTTGGGGGTTCCACAAAGTTGCCTTAAGAACTCTCTCTAGGCCGCATACATGGCGAGTTAAAACACCCGTGCATTTCGCGTTGAGAGTCCCCATACGCAATTTATTGTCTCGTCGGACGTGCTAAGATAAAGACCCACTTCGCAAACCATTTAAAAACCGCAATGGCCGTCTCTCAATCGATCGTTGCCATCACTCTTTTGACTGTGGGCGGATATTTGCTCTTCCAAGGCGAAGGTGAGTCCTTCAATGTCGGCGAGTTTCTAGAAACAACTTCTCCTTACATGTGGGCGAACCTAGGAATCGCCAGTTGTATTGGATTCTCTGTCATTGGTGCTGCGTGGGGTATTTTCATCACAGGTGCTTCCATTCTCGGAGCCGGTGTTAAAGCGCCTAGAATCACCACAAAAAACTTGATTTCCATCATTTTCTGTGAGGTTGTGGCTATTTATGGCTTGATTATGGCTATTGTTTTCTCGGCCAAAGTCACCAGTGTGCCTGAGGCTTCGTTGTACACAAAGGAAAACTTGTATACTGGCTTTGCTTTGTTCTGGGCAGGTATCACTGTGGGTATTTCCAACTTGTTGTGCGGTATCGCTGTTGGAATTACTGGATCCACGGCTGCAGTCAGTGACGCTGCAGACTCTTCGTTGTTTGTTAAGATTTTGGTTATTGAGATTTTCGGCTCTGTGTTGGGATTGTTCGGTTTGATCGTGGGATTAATGATGGCCGGAAAAGCTCCGGAGTTCAAGTAAGTCACACGTTGGCATCGATAAAACTATTCGGCAATGGCTTTTTAAGAGAAGAAAGCAGTATCAGTGTCATCTTTCCAGCATCATTGCCACAACAACTTACTACAAACTACACATTTTTTACTTCTAGAGCCCACAGTATCAATTGTACGGCATTCGATTACAGTGTCATCTCTAATATACGCACTCTGTTCAATTTTCGCCTTCGGTAGACTCTGGAGCTTTCTTCAAGATGACAATGCCTTCCAAAGTATGCGAAAGACTGATCCATTCTTCGTTATTCTCCAACTCTGCTCTTTCACCATAGCTTAACAACACCGGTGTGGCTTGCGTCACCCAACCAGTGATTGTCTTTGGTTTACCTGCTTGGCCAACCACGTCAACAGCTTGACCAACTCTAACATTCACTTTGATAGGATTTAAATCTTCATCAACAGTGATCAACATTCTAGGTTTGATTGCGGGTGTCAAGTAGTACAACATTTGGTGGGATGTTTCAGTAGTAGAGTCACTCAAAATGAAGGATTTTGGATCTAGCAAAGAAACTGACACAGTCAATAACGCAGCCAAAGAAACCTTGTTTAAAATGGACCTTTCGCTGTTAAACGGAGTTAAAGACAATGTACCTTTACCCAAATACAATATACCTTGGGCAATTCTCACCATAAACAAGGAGTCAGGCGACTTAGAGTAGTACTGAGCCAACTGTCTCAATAATTGAGCCAATCTCGCATTGTTGGTACCAGCACCAACCAATCCCATCGCATAAATTGCATTTTGTGACACTTCCAAATCTGGATCATGTGAATAACGAGAGAGCGTGTCAAACACCTTCATTTGTGGATAAGAAGCTGAGACTAAACCCATTGCCAAGGGAACAGTTCTGCGGATCAAAGGATTACCATAATGCATCAAATGGGAGAAATGACGCAAGACCATATCTTGACCAATATCCTCACCCATAGCAATACAAGCGAGACCCAACACAGCAAAGCCCTGATAGATATCTTCTTCCTCATCTTCATCTTCATCTTCAGATTTTTCTTTCTCCTCCTCTTTGACTTCAGTCGTCGTTGTAGTGGCATCTTCCATATCTTCATCTCCTGTTGCCGAAGCTTCTCCTTGTGCCGAAGCAGCTTCTGTATCTCCACCATCTCTCTTCTTTTGATCTTCTTCGCTTTCTGCTAACTTCTTCTCTTCCTCAACGTCACTCTTAGGTTTTGCTGAGCACATTTGCAACAATGATTGGATTTGCAAAACATTACCAGTACCAGCATAAGCACATATGTTTGCCAACACCTTCAATGTTTTGTTGATTGGATGTTCGATAGCGTCAATAATATCCAAAACATCCTCCACCATCTCTGTCTTGCCCATATATAACAAGCCAAGACCCCAATGCCATGAAGCGAATGAACTTGTTGTTCAATTGAGTAAAGTCTCTCTCCAACAAAGTTTGCAAAATAGCGGACGTAATATCTCCGTGGCAGGTACCGACAAAAACATGACCAAGCGCCAAAGAAGCCAAACATGATGCTTCCAAAGAGATGTCTGTGTCAGAAATAAGAGGAAGCAATAAGTTCAACACCTCTTCATTGGCAGATCCGGCGTAGGCAATTCCGAGACCATTGATAGCAGACGTCTGGAAAATCTTTTTTGGGTCCAGCACATACTCTTGCAACAAACCCAAAGAAACTTCAGCTTCATCATTGATGTTCGCCGAGATTATACCAGTTCCCAAGATGGAACCAGCCTTTATAACATCATCATTAGAATAGGTATATCTATCCAATGCAGGCAAACCTTCGTCAATGTTCCATTGATAAATGGATCCAATGGAAGCGGTAGCGGAAATCATACCAGATGCCTTTGTTCTGTAGATCCATGATTTTGTCTCGCTCTCACCAGATTGCAAGATCAATTTATCTGTACCATAACCAAAATTGAGGAAAGCATTGACAAAAGAGGCAGCCAAATTTTGTTTTGCAGAATCTATCGATCCCAGACCATAAACATATCTGGAATCCTCCAAATGAGATTTGTAAATATCCTCTGGCACTTTTGGTTCCAATAAGTTCAATTCTTCAACCAAGTATGCGTAGAATTCTGGCAATTTGACATTAGAAATGATCTCTTGCGTCTCTTCATTATCACCTGGGTATTTAAATCTGTTATACTGTTGTGACAATATAAAGCCCAACTGTTTATGTACCAAGAGGTCTTCAGTTGAGTCAAACACCTGCTTAATTAAATCTTCATTGTCCAACTTGATGGCCAAGGTTAATGCCTGAGTCAATTGATTATGAGTCAAGTAGATAGAATAAGCAGTGTGCAAAAATGCTGTGTCATCTGGAGGAGCCAAGAGTGGCACGCAGCTCACCATATAAAGACAAACTCTTGCATATGTCGAGTTATCCAAATACTGGGGCAACTTTTCGATGTTTTCAATTTCCAACAACAAGTCCACAGCATCTGCCTCTGCATTGTGCTTTAAAAAGAACGGAACAATGTGAAGTGACAAATCCACCAAGCGAGCAACATGTGCCTCATCAGATCCCAAATTGGCCTGGTATGACTCGCCAATCTCCAAAGCCAAATGGCGCATGTACTCATGGCCCCAATCAGAAATAGTATCATCGGAAGCCAATAAGCGGTATTTGAGAGACTCTCTCTTTCCATCGTCAGAACGAGTGGTGGCCAAAACAGAAATGATATCGGCAAGTTGGAGTAAAAGTTTCACCGCAACCCCTTTGGTGGACCATTTTTCGTACAATTCTGTCATTAACGAATAATGTGGCCTCAAGAATTTCAATGGCTTAGGTACCGCAGTCATAGAGGTGGTTGAATCCTTGATGAAGTTTTTCATAGTAGACAAGGCGGTCAAATAATCCTCTTCAGGTTGATCTGGCTGGTTTAAGGTCTCCACCAACGCTTCCAAATCATCCTTCAATTTTTGGTCTTCTTCGGAAAGCTCTTCCTCAGCAACAACAGGTTGTTTCTTCTTCTGAGATTCTGCCTCAGAGGACGCCACCTGGTCTTTTACAGGTGCCATGGTGTACAATGGATGGCAGATTTAATAGTGAGATTTGCGTTCGTTGGTTCTGGCTTGTGGCAAACGAGTTTGAATCCTGTACACGCATGGGTAACAAAACACGTGACCGACACAGCTTCTCTTCGGAACTGTTTGTAATAAACCATATGTATTATTGACACTGGACCTCCGGTCCAATATAGGATGATGTACTCCTCACTGGTTCTATTTTACCTACTTCGAAGGTGACTGGGTCAAGTGTAGAAATACGATTGTCTCGTTTGCTTGGTGGGAACAGCTAATATATTTTGTTCTGGTTTTTTTTTTCTTTTTTTTTTTTTTTTTTGCTTGCATGCTTTCGATCGTCAATATTAAAATTCTTGTTATATATTTCAGTTTCGTCTACTTAACCAGCTTTTGATATTCGGCCGTATTTAATGTATATTCATGTTGACTTGGCTCTTGTTAGCCATTGCGCACCAAACTAACCTATTTGGGTCAAATCGCGTACACTCATGCACCGAAAAACACCGGAAAAGAAAGCTAATTCTTGCTAAGTGCTTTTGAGGCATGGAGAGAATTTTTTATCAATCAGATGTTGTGGATGCCTACACGGGTCATCCCATTTTCGTATTTGATACGTCATACCTTCCACCTACATCTCAAATCGACTATGATCTTTTTATTCCTACAATGATGAAGTCACTTCCGGACCGGCCATATGTTCTTATTATGTTTAGTTGTGGCCTCAACAAAATCAATTGGCTCTGGGGCGTTAAGTTCCTAAAAGCTTTCCTCTCTCCAGACCTACAAAACAGAGACAATGTTGGCAATCTTACGAAAGTCATATCCGTGCACGAAAGCTGGTTTGTCAAATCCATATCACAAATATTAACCAACATCTCCTTCTCGAGGCAGACACTCACAAAATTGAATTCATTGTTTGGAAACAAGTCCAGTAAAAATAATATCCTTATAAGTTGTGATTCACTTTCGGAACTTTCATACTACGTGGATATCACCAAATTGAAGCTATCGCTTAACATCTATAAACATGATGCACAATGCACACTCAGTCCCAAAATTGAACTTAATTGTCCACTTGAGCCTATCCTTACCCCTTCCACACGCTACTCTCAAACATCTGATCCCGTTTTCTATCATCATTTCTACCAGATTTTTCGCATTGTTGATATGTATGGGCCAAACGTTGAGCTGATCTTTCATAGACCTGGAAACAGACTCAACACCGAGATATTGTTCTTATGCATAGTCAGAAATCAACTAATATGGATCAACGACTGGGATTTGAACTGCATTGCATCCTGTTTCAAAAAGTTACTCTTGGAAGTTTCTCAGCCTCTCATTCCCGTCGACAAGATACCATTGCCAATGAATGATCTGCTAAATTATACATTAGAGGTCTTGAATGTCATGATGGCTGACCCAGATACTAATGTCCTCATATATCAAATTATGGACTTGTGTTACCGCATCGTTGAAAATGCAGCTATTACCAACCATTCTCACTATTCTATACTGAAGAGCATGTGCCATGCGCTAACGCATGAGCTATTGTCGACACAAAATAGAGACAGAATATCTATCGGGACACGGTTCATTAAGAATGTCCTTTTGCATTGGGAGAGAATCCGTCCCCTTTACCAAAACAGATTCGAGAGCGTGGAGCAAATTGTTAATGGTGAAACACTTCACAACCCGGCAATTGATGAACTGTACAACATGTCACATGAAATTACCATGAATGAGGATGAATCAACTGATGAAGAAACTCGTGACTTTAGTACCAAAATGATATTAGATGATACAAGAGAACCAAGCGGGCACATTAATGAAAAGAATGAATATTTCAAGAACAAAAAGGTCTCACCACTAGAGAAAGCGAGGGAAATTTCGCAGAAGGTGGAAAGTGTACGTGAGATGGAAAGGCAACAGGTAGAAAAGAAAAATGAAAATGAAGGTCGGCAAACAGGAAAGATACGAAATGAAAAAGAGGGAGTGCCGGATGAGCCTCAAGAAGAACACAGTACCACTGATACAAAGAGAGATGAGACATTGAAATTCACCAAGATATCTAATCCTGGTAAGAGGGTTCCTAAACGTTGCGAGACCATTCAAGAAGAAAAACTGCAACCCAATCAACTTAAAAGCATTAATGTTATGTTACAGTATCCCCCACAGAAATATCGATTTGAACGTACACAGAAAAATGACATTGAGCACACAGACGCACAAGTACCTGAACCGAAGCCCATTAAGAAGCCGGTCATTCGTGGACGCAAGGTTAGCGAACTCACCAGACTCTTTGAAGAAAGAACACAAGCATTTGAAATCATACGTACTATTTAGACCCCCTACAATCATATGTTATGCCACGCGGGCACATTTCCTGGACGATTTCTCGTATTATAGTTGTGATCTTCTCTCTTCCAAGGAATGAATGTTCAACTGTATCGATCGATAGTAATGTATTGCTTTCACATTTAGTCCAGGGTTTCTCTTAAGGTTAAGTGAGATCCGCACACGGATCAAGTTGAGCATACAGTAGTATGTGCTGTTGCTCTTGTCCATGTACTTACAAGTGTGCGTTACCTATCTGTGATTTTACTATACACTATTTTACACGTCTATTCTCCTACCAATCTGCTGTCGATATTGTCGATGGACAAGTCGCCGTTACCACTAGCATGAGCTGCGCTTGCCACTGCAGCAATTGCAGCTGCTGCAGTGCTATCTCCGTGCTCACTTTCGTGAAGACCATGCAATTGTTGCTGGTAATGTTGTAGCTGTTGCTCATCCAAATGTGGGTGTGGTGAAAGCAGATGGCCCATGGAATGGTGGTGCGAGTGGTGATCCACGGCCAATTGGCGCTGAATTTCGGCCTCCTGCCTTTGGCGCTCCAACTCATAGGATAAGACCTCGTCGTGGTCATCGTCTTCGTCGTCATCCTCCATAACTTGATGGTACAGTGCGGCGTTACGGCGGCGCTTGATACCGTTCGCACCAACGCCGCCAGGTAGAAACTTGTTCTGCTTCTTCAATTTACGCTTATAGCCACGGATCTCGTTGTAAATGTCTTCACGCTTGATCAACACGTCGGGGAATTGGTGCTTGATCTTTGCCTCGATGTGAGAAGGTTTGGTGCCCACCTTATACAAGTCCAAGATAAGCAAGTTCAACTCATCTGAACGCTTGCGCAACATTGGATGGTTAGACAAAGGATCCAACTGCGGGTGGTTGTGCTCGTTGCAAGTTGTGCGAAGCGACCAAATCAGGTTGGACTTGCGGAACGATGCTGTCATGCTAAACGGACACCGCAACTTTTTAGTGCGGGCATGGGGCTCCAACACATATGCTGTTCCGGTCTCATTGAGCTGTCTGCGCGCAGCTTCTTCCTCTTGTTGCTGGATGGATTTGCCCTTTTTATGGCGGTAGCGTCCACCCAACTCGCAGGTGTAGTAAATGGCCTTTTTGTTCGAGTGAGCAATGACAATTCCGAAACCGTTATCCCGAGCAAACTCCGAAATGAACTCGTTGAGTTCGTCGCGTGTGTGAAACATCTGCTCTGGGAATGGCCGCGTTATCAAGTTTCCCTCATTTGTGATTGTGTTTTCCGACACTGGATAGATTTTCAGCCGGGAGTCTATGATGGGTTCAGGGATCTGGATATTGTACTCAGAGTCGTCGTGCAAATGTTGCTGCTGATGGTATAGCGCTTGGGCCTGGGCCTGAGCTTGGGCCTCTTGGGCAGCCCGCTGCTCCTGCAGAGGCTGATTTTCCTGTTGTGGGTTTCGGTGGTGATGTTTTGAAGCTTCCAATTTCACCAGACTGCCATCATCTAAGTCATGTCCATTTACCTGGTTTTTCACAGCAGTAAGCAACTGCTCATCAATGTTTGCTGGGTAATCTTCCTCGTGGCTCATGTGCGCTTTGGGTGCAAAATGCTCTAGAGGTCGTGTTAGGGTAGTAGTGTAAATGTGTTAAAATTTTGTTTGTTTCCGGGGGATGGGGTGAGCACGCTATCACGTGAGGTGGTCGTGCGCTTGGCAAATCCGAGGAGGGGGATCAGGGTACTGTCATCGGAAGAGACAAGAGCGTGGCGAGAAAGAGCGAAAAAGTGCATTCTTACGGTTGCATCTCCTGGCATCGAAACTGTTCAAAGTAGCCGTTGTTTTTCACCTTCTAGTGCTAGTCTGAACGCAGTATTTCAGCTGCGACCATGGCTGAAATGGTTCGCGAATGGAGCCGTGCATCATGAAGTTAGGATGTCGTAGAGGATTCCCAGTTCACGGTCCCAGTAAAAATTTCGTCATTCGGCTGTTTGGCGTTCTGGCTACTTGTGATATATATGTGTCTTTCATTGTTATTTTTTTCTTTTTTTCCGCCATTAGTCTTTCGAAAAGATGAAGCTACAAAAGTCACTACTATGGCGGTTTGTATTTCGTAATCCGGTATGCATGCTTTCTCTAGATGTTTCCAATGGAATAGTAGAAGCCGTGACTTATAGTATCTCACAGTACACAATTGAAGTATGGAAGGCTGTCAGGTTCTTCCACTCAACAACGAGAAGGTGTCACCAAATTTATACTTCCCCCGTATATAGCTCAAAAGAGACACAATGGTTCAGTTTTTTTGATACGACTCGCATGAAGTCGAAAGAGCTTGTGTCAGCTCATGTTATATGAACAGTCGTAACTCATGAGGTTAACGCTTGCAACTGCCTCTCATTACTGATCCGTAGATGATATAAAACGGATTTCATACCTTTATTGACAATATCAACACCATGCATTTATCAATTAAACCCATCTATAAACTGTATCCTCCTACCACTATACTCATTACCGCACCAGCTAAGCCGATATGATCTTCGACGCCAGCATCTCCATTTATTTCCGCTGGTTAACAATTTCGTCTGCCCAAGTAGGCAAGACGAACGCAGCTTCGTGCACTTTTGCATTGTAGTACTTGAAAACTTGTGCTTCCTTATCCGTGGCAATGGTTCTCAATGGCTTTGCAAAATTTTTAGTCGTATCGCTCGAAGCCACAATAAGTCCCAACTGGCCACTGGTGTATGAAGGCATGTAACACTGGCAGTAAGCCACGTTAGGGAAAACACGATTAGCCTTGCTCTTGAGCTCAGCCAAGTAGTCTATTTTCAACCAGATATTTTCGCTGCTTTGCATGATAACCACGCCATCGTTCTTGGTGGCATTTTTCAATAATGAGAAATAGTTCACCTCGAAAAATTCCTCCGCTGGACCTTCAGGGTCAGAAGAATCTGTAATGATCACGTCGTACTTGTCAGATTCTTCCAAAGAGCCTAGCTTCTGCAAAAATTTGAATCCGTCTTCGATAACAATATTCACCTTGGGGTGGTTGTGGAACTTTGCCATTTCAGGCAAATATTTCACACTCAAGTCGATCACTTGACGGTCAATTTCAACCATGGTAATGCATTCCACACCACTAATGTCCAACTGTTTCACCAACTCCCGCACAACACCACAATCTCCACCTCCAATGACCAACACATTCTTTGGGCTGGGATGACTCATTACAGGAATGTGGGTTATAACCTCTTGGTATGCAAACTCATCCTTTTCTGTACACTGGACAATTCCGTTAAGCACAAGGACATTCCCAAACGTTTTTGACTCGAAAATTAGAATGTCCTGAAATTCGCTTTTGGAGTGGTGGAGAAGCTGTTTGATTTCAAGCCCAAACATTTGCCCAGGAAAGGCATCCTCACTATTCTCGTGAAACCAGTACTTTCCCTGGATCTGAGAAACTGCAGGATGGCTGAATGTGGCCAAGTCTAATACCATTTTGATATATGATGTCCGGTGCTGTACTTTTTTTTTCTTTTTTTCCGTGTCTGCGCACTTGTAACGTCGGATGGGGAGCGAAATGACTAGAGGAAGGACGCTCAAAACAGTTACGAAACCACGATGTCTAGCATAATTTACTTGTTTGAAGAATATCTCTTGCGCTATTATCCTAAAAGGATGCAGACGGATAATTATACATTGCGCATCCTAGAACCTCAAAATTCTAAAGGATCGTTCAAAGAAATAAAACGAGAAGCAAGTCCAATACTCACAAGAAAACGTTCTCGTTTATACACCCAAAAGTAGCTTTATAATTCGTAAACTGCCCCTCCTCTCCTCGGTGGGGACCCTTGTAGTTTTCCCAAATAAAATGTGCTAGCGAAAAAATAGTCTGTGCCTGCTCCCCATTTTACCCCACATTCGTACATACAAATATAGCGCGAAGCATGATTCCTTTAAATTGCAAGATCTATAATTTTCTTTAATTTTTTTGTCTTTTCTCTACACCATTTGTGCGCATAGCCAACAGCAGAGCAATTTTTGATGCTGTGAATCGTTCTCGCCTAATTATAACATCTGCATTCAACCACTGTCATATACCTATGATGTTTGTTTTCCCTGCTTACAATAGTAGTTATAAGTCCCGAAAGAGAACCTTTCGGTGCTGTCAAACTTGCCGGATGAAGCGTATCCGCTGCTTTCTGACTGGCGAATATGAAACTCATGGATGTGATGTCTGCAGACGGAAGGGGCTCCACTGTGATTTGATCAAACAGCAGCATGACAAAATTTCTGTGCAGCAGAAAGCTTCTTTTGTCCCCGATTTCAAGTTAGAGACTCCCATCAGCCTTCCTCATTCAAGTCGAATCAGTGAAACTCCTATGTCATCCCAATCTAGTCCGAATAGGTCTTCATATATAATGGATCCAATTCGATATTCAACTGGCAATGTGCCCCCTTTGCCTAAAGAGAATATGTCGCCATCGAGATCTAAATCTGAGGACTTATCAAGTTATACTAATCAGACACATTCTATTCCGCCGCAGCCGCAGCAGCCGCAGGCTTTTTACCCAAATATCCTTGCTTCTTCGGGCTCTCCTATGCAACATGAAAAGCTATTCGACACCCTGTTTGCAAACCCATTCGCACCTGTCCAAGAAGAAAATCAAGAAATCAAGTCCGAGGCAAGAGACGGGCCCCGATCCAATACCAGTCTGTCCACTTCTTGGTTTAGTTCTCCTCGCACTTTCAATCCCGATAATATCGAAGAAATTATCCACAAGGTAGATTGGAAATTTTTGAAGCGGGTCTTTGACTTCAACACTAGCATCAAAGAAACTGCAGTATATTTTGCTAAAACATTGAGCCGGAAAGATGCCGATACTAAATGGGAGAGCTTGACGGAAATATTGTCGAAAAGGCATCGCCACAAAACAAGATATCTATCTTCTCGTAATTGTCTTCATTTTAAATTTTTGTTATCGATCCATGCATTCACATTGAATACTCCGGGTTTCTTTGAAGTCAGTCAGTCAGACTTATTGAAACTTTATGAAATATATTTTTACAAGGTTAATTCAGTATTTCCCATTGTTCATGAGCAAGAATTTTGGGAGTTATACAAAAAAAACAAGATCCCCAACATAATGGCATATGCCATGATCATCATAGCAGCTAGGGACGAATTATCAGAACTGATTTTGAGAAGGTCATTTTGCACGAGCACTGGTCTGTTCAAAGACAAGCAAAACAGGTTCATATATGAGTTGGAGGTAAAAGTTCGTCAGCTTCTCTTGTTCTTGCCTGAGCTTGGAGATACAGAAAAGCTCACTAGGTTGACGACACAGTTATTGTTATGTCTCAACTTTACATTCAACAAGTTTGGAAATGAGCAAAGCTCTCATGATCTTTTTGATTGCGTGAGTTATTCATTCTCTTTGCTCATCCACCACGATTTCTTCCACGAGCGAATTATCAAAGAAGGTGTCAAAAATAAATCTACCTATCTTAAACATTTGTGGTGGGTGATCTTCATTCTTGATAGGTTCAATGCCTTGTTGAATGGTAAAGCAGTTGTTATTAAAAGGCCCGACTTTAATATTGGGCGGCCAACAGATTTACCTCACCTTGATAGGATTGTGGGAATCGCATATGCATTAGAAGATACTCTTATCGAGGCTTTCAGACCTCCAAGAGTATTTAACGGTGTTAAAAGTATCAAAGCAGAAACGCTCCCAGGCGATCCTATATTTGTGCCTTCGGAGTATCTAAAAGATGATGGTGCCGACAGGATAGAAAAGGTTCGAGCAAAATTTATGGAGCATGACTACGACAAATCAAAGAAAATCGGATGTCTTCCAGCCATGCCTGTAAGTGCTTACAGGGATCGCCATGTTCTCTTCTTGGAGGAAATCATGAAAAACCAAATCGGGTTGATTTTAAGAACGGGCCAAGTTAAATACCTGAAGAGTTGTCCCGAGATCGACGAACCTAGTCTTCGTTTAAGTGAATCATTTGTGAAACTATTGGATATGCTCAAGGATGGCAGAGGTTACGAGCTAGTTATGCCTATTCCATTAATTCCACTGATTATGCTTGTGTCTTTTTCGGTGCCTCTTACAAGCCGTATGAGACTCCTTTCGAAATTGAAAGGCATTCCATCTGACTCACTCGCTTATGCCAAGATGACGAGAGTAGGAGATTTATGCAACAAGTTTATACAAGAGTTGAACATATTGAGCGAAAACTGGTGGTTTGTGCATGAGGTTATGGTCTCCATCCAGAGCTTGAACCAGAAGGCAAACAAATCGATGGAGAACCGTGAGAAAATTCTTGCTATACGAAAAGCGGCCAAAGCCGATGAAGAAATCAAAAGACACAAACTCTCGATCAAGTCGTTGGTGTCTAGTAAATCAGATGACGAAAGCGCTATTCCTCTGATGCTCTCGATCACGTCTCCAGGTTTCTACGACGAAGTCATTGTTCTGAGTGGCGACGAGGACCAAGAAGAAGAGAAAGATGGCGATTCCCCATCTACTGACGACCAAGATGAACAGTATGCTTTCCAAGACCACCTTCTTGTACCTCCAGTAATTGGTAGTGCATCGTTTACGAATTACGCGGATACCGATGAAGCTCCAGATGTGCGAGGCCTGCTTCTGGGCTTGGAAAACGCACACCCATTTAGCGACAATCCCTTCCAGTTTGCTAACGAAGGCATGCCATGGGATGCGGGATTTGTTGCGGGCCATATAAATGATGAAACCAGTTTTTTGCCAAACATTCTACATTTTTTCAACGAACAGCCAATGAGCATGTGAGACGGTGTGGGGGTCGTTGCTCAACCAAAAAAAATGATTGCAGGAGTGGAACGTTGCACAAAACGTGACGGCCAAAAATAGTCAATTTCATCGTATCATCCGGACTTACGAAACACGTTTGTCCAAAATGTGTGTATAATTATAAGCACTACCGTTAACAGCTATCTCTTAATTTATTTATTCGTGCAATCTAAAGTAAAATCAAAAAAAAGCTAACCGAGTGCGGGACGTGTGTGTACCGGAAAATCTTACTGTTGTGTGATACTCTTTTTTCCTTGGTCATGAGTCCCTCGACATTCGCTTTTTGTCATTATACAATCCACGTTTTTCTAACTTACGCCATTTTGGTTTACACCTGTTCACTTTACGCAGCGTTTTTCATCTTTGGTATTCTCAACTTTGTTGATCCCATTATTGTCCTTCCCGAAACTTCCATTTCCCGCAATCCTCACTTGATATTTTTTTTCCACACACTTGCCTTTCTAGTTGCCATGTCCCAAAGAATGGAGGCTGAGTCTGCTTTTGTAAAACAGATTAATCGCTTGGTTAAGAGCTTGTCGAACCTGTTACCTTCAAATGTTCTCTTTTGGCTTTTAGCTCTGATCGTATACTATTTGTTTCCTATCCGTTATGCTTTTTTCCCGGCGCAAGGGTCCACTTCAAACAAGAAAGCAACTACAGAAAGTGACATCCCTCCTAACTTGTTCCCATCCATTGATGATGTGTCTATTGATCATGAGACTCCTATTTCCGAAAGGAAAATTGTTTCCTCTCCTGCGCACCCTCAACCATGCTCCACAGGCTTAACAACTCGTTTGTTACCTTTCAAGAATGCAAAGGGCGAAATTGAATGGGCATTTACGGACGACTTGCCCCTTGGCACTGACTTGGAGTCATTTGAATCTGAGAAGACTAAAGGTATAAGAACCTCGGGGCCAAAGACTGAAATCTTATCTCCGGTCACATCCAACTCTTCCAACGCTGACTCTATTCTTTCCAACCAAAAGCAGTCAGGCAACCACCAAATCGATACGCCTTCCTCAACTAATAGCGATTACGATAAGCAGAAAGATGAACAAGGCGATGGCGAAGAGGGTGAAGAGGACGATTTGGAAGGTGATGGTGCCATTGAAGGCGAAAGTGCTGAAGATGGACAGTACCACCAATGTCCTCATTGTGACTCAAAATTTAAAATGAGGGGCTATTTGACACGCCATTTGAAAAAGCACTCTCTTGAAAAGGCTTACAGATGCCCATTTCGTGAATCTTCTGTTTACGTGGATGAACATGATGTTACTCATCAATGCCATCCTACAGGAGGATTTTCGAGAAGAGACACATACAAAACCCATTTGAAATCGAGACATTTTAAGTATCCTGAGGGTGTTCCAGCAAAAAAGAGAGCGCAATCCCCCGGAAACTGTTCCATGTGCGGAGAATGGTTTGAGAACGGAGAAATCTGGTGTGAAATTCATATTGAAGGTGGAGAGTGTCGCCACTTGCCTCAAGGTTTCAAAGGAAAATCTAGAATTAAGAACCGTTTGAAGAAGCAAATGAAGCGTATGATGAAAGAAAAAAAGAAGAGAAGCCAGTACATCGGCAACCCGATTGAACAGCAATCTCCTATTATGAGCACTCCTAGCTCAATAAATACTCCGATTGTCAACTCCGCTTATGATTACAATAACTCTCCAACTACATCTGTCAGTTCTTCTATTGGAACGCACCAAACGATCCACAATTCACATGATGCCTTGTACAAAGCTTCTTCGCAACTGATGATGCCTATTCAGCATCATCACGAAGTTTTCCATAACACTAACCCGGTTGAAATGGATTATGATGATGATTATTGTCTAGATACGGATCAATTGAGCACGGCTACGCAATTCAGAGACGTTCACATGTATCCCATGACTGGTCACATGCAATCTCTTAATGGTTATTCTTGAGTTTTCACGAAAGATACACCAGCATAACAGAATATTTAGACATTTGGGTTTTTATTTTTGGGGTGGTTTAGGTTACATTCACATTGGCATCGTGCGCTCGGGATCTTTGTCTGGATTGCGACGAGCTAAGCACACTTTTTGTATACGTAAAATAATAATATATTGGTTACTTTTAACACTACCCGAATATTTCGTCCATGGCGCTTTTTTTCTGTTTCGACTTTGCCTTTTTTTTCTTTTTCTTGGGCGCATCTCCGAAAATACTGGCTATGTCATCAACTTTTGGATCCGTCTTGATGTCCTTCTCTTCATGCCGGCGTTTTTTTCCATCTTTCTTTTTGACTTCTGATGTGTTATGCTTTTGCGCTTGGGCCTCTTCTAGATGTTTTTCGGCAGATGCCAGGTTCCACTCGATTTCTATACCGATGTCATCATCATCCACTTGTAGTGCCTTTGATCCGTTCTTACTCTCAGTCGTGCCTGTAATACTAATTGCTTGAATCTCACTGACCACAGAATATATTGCACTCAAACTGCCAACCAACGCAAGCCCCAAATTGATAAATTGGCCCAAAGCTATAATTCCGTTAAACTCATAGTATGCTTTTGAGAATAAACTTCGATTCACCATAAACTTCGCTATGGCAACCGTCTCTTGCCTTAGTCTCTCCTTCACCTTAAACTTCTTTGCATGTTCCATGCTATATGCCTTTTTAAGAATCTGACGAGTTCGTTTGTGTATCATTTCCAAATATCTCCACCATCTTGCAACGCGATGTTGGTTATGGTTTCTCGTGTATAAAAGGTGGAGTATCTCAAACTCTTTCTGTAGCTTTTCGAGAGACGCTGTTGGCACGAGTTGCGCAGAGGTTACAAGATGAGACATCTCGCTTTGTCGTATTGCACGGGAGACGACCGGATTCTAAACGATGAGATGGGAATATGGAGTAAAAGAATCTAGTTGCTCTCTCTGGTTGAGTCACTAGAAAAGGACTAAAATAGTTTATCTTTTGCGACAATGACTTTGTCAATATTCGAGCATACAACACCTAGTAGCTCAACAAAGAAAAGGGTTTTGAAAGATGTAGGAAGCACTAAGTGGATAGGAAGGAATTAAAAGGGTTTGGAGAAATGCAATAAAGAAACCATCAATCTCTTCAATGCGGATCTTGTCTAGCCCTACTCTTATCCACGTTGACTGAAAGTCATCGCGCGATGAAAAATTACACAGTGACACTGCTCTCCTGTTCCTGAAACGCAAAAGCATAGATGGAAGAGACTATCGGAAGAGCCAGGGCGCTTCTCCAAAGTTCCCAAGAGCAAAAGGCATTGGATTTGTTGACTCCAGAAGTCACCAAGAATCCTGAATGCGTTCCTCTCCTCGAAGTATTCGGTGAAACCCTTCTCGAGCTAAACGATGTGGAAACAGCTTACAGCACATTGATGAAAGCAGTTGAGTTGGATCCTGAGGCAAAGCAAGGGGTTGAGAAGTTCTTGTATTTGGGGCAAATCATTGGAGGAAAAGATGGATGTGGCTTTTTAGACGTGGCCCTTGGTAAGTTACAAGAGCAACTTACAAAAGTTGCTGACAATAGTGGGCAAGATGATGCAACCTTAGTGGAATTGGCTAAAGTGTATGAAAACAGTGAGGCATTATCTCTTTACCTAATAAAAAAATTGAACCAAGGTATCTTTGCTCAGATTGAAATTTGGATGACAGACTTGTGCATGGAACCAGAAGCTGAACAAAAATGTGATGACCTAATCTCCTACTCTTTATCATTGGACAATCAAAATCCAGAAGCATTGTCCTTGTTGGCGCTGATTAGAATTTCTCAGCAAAGAAACGATGATGCTAAGGAAGCTTTACAGAAATCATGGGAACTTTTTCAGAACAAGAAACACACCTTAGAGATCCAGCAAACCGAAGAAGGAGAAGAAGCCTCCTTCGAATATATCGAATTGGTTCAGCCTTTGCTTGGCCTCGCTCGTTTTGCCATAGAATTGGCCATGTATGATTTGGTACCATCTATATGTGGAGGAGTTTCCGAAATCAATGAGAATGCCTTAGATTGTTACTACTACGAAGCCTTGTCTCACATATTGAAAGCCCGTCTCATATACTCTCAACAGCATCCATCTGATCAAGATTACAGAGAATTGGACATCATGAAGGTAAAGTCCAGCGACAATGAAGAAATACAAAATAGCATTGCTGAAGCCAAATCCGCACTTACCCAGGGCTACAGGGTTATTAACAGTGCTGATCTTGAAGCTTCTGACCCAGATGTGGTTGATCAAGTCAATGAGATGTTGGCTGCTCTTGGTGGTCCGAATATGGCTGAATTGATGCCAGAAAGAAGGACAAACGATGAGGAATTCGAGGGCTGGGAGGACGAAATTGTTAGCGATAAAGAATAAAATACGTTTAGCTAGTTGAAGAAACTGAAAATTTGAATGAATGTAAGAAAAGGATGAAGATATACCCACCATCATCAGAAAGTAAGTTTTGTACCTACCACTAGTGCTTTGACAGTGTGTACACCATCATATTCGCATCTTCTATACTCTTGCACCATCTACATTTTTCTTTTTGCCATGACAACGAATCACAGGCCAACTCTAGAAAGCAAAAGGGGTCGCTCAAATGAAATCAAAGATAGCATCAAACACTCGCGTGCTCTACCTGGACAGCTTTCCATGAAACTTAGACTGGATATAGTGGGGAAGCATGTTGATTCAAGTCTAGGAAAGAGAGCGGTTACTGAACTAGAAGAATCGCGAAAGCGCTCCAAATATGAAGAAGGCGATGGCAAAGATACATTATCAGCAAAAGGGTCAAATAACAGTGAACAGAGTTCTGAATCTGAAAGGGGCATATCAGATGAGAGCGAAGATGAGGAGTCTGATAGTGAAAGTGAGACTGAACTCTTAATGCAAGAGCTCAACAAGTTGAAAAAGGAAAAGGAAGAGATAAAGAGAGAGGTGACCACATCCGAGAATCCACTATTGCCTCCAGACGAAACAGAGGTTTTGCCCAAAAAAAGTTGGAGAAGCGGAACATCATTCAGAGAGAAGAGTAATTCAAATTCGGATAAGCAATACACCACCGATACTTTGAATTCACCAGCGCACCAAAAATTTCTCTCCAAGTATATTCGCTGACTCCATTTAGCCATCTGGGCTACATAACTTAACAATCCTATCGATTTCTATTCACGAGCCTTCACTTTACGTCAAGTCTTCCTGGTTGAGCCTTGCATCTAAATGTGCAATATCTTCCTTCAAGCTCGCTTCTTCAACGGTTTTCACCAATTCCTTGGTGCATTTTGCAATATCAAAAGAGATTCCCGCGAGTCTTTGCTTGAAATTCTTGTCAGCAAAGTCCAGATCGTTTCTATCGGTATTTGATCTGCAAAGGGTATTCATACGATGGTTGCAATCTTCCAAACTTTTAACGACCCAGCTTCCGTGTTCTTTCAATTGATGATTTCTCGTCTGGTTCATCGAAGTGTTGGTAGCCTCTGTCATCTGTCTAATTACTTCGGATATAGCCATCGAGTTCTCGCGCAAATCACCTCTAGTGGAATCAGGTCTTTTGATTGCAGACAACAAGTCCTGAATTGTTGTGATGACTTGAACCGTTTGATGCTCCAAATACAACAAAACCTGTGTCAAAGTGTTATCAGGGTCATCAATATCAAATAATTCAAAATTAAAAGTAGCAGCAGCCATAGATTTCCTGTATTCTCTGCGTTGTCTAGCACCTTCTTCTTCCTCGTCCTCGCTCTCTTCCTCGCTCTCGTCATTGTCATCGTATTCACTCTCACTCTTGAAACTTTTGTTATCTTTAGTCGGACTCTCTGCGTAATTTACCCTCTTAACTTTGAAAGATGGTGCCTCTACAGGAAAGCCTCTGCCGCTGCCTGGGGATTTTGCGCCCGGTGATTGAATTGAGCGTTTTGAAGCTGGTGATCCAGAAACACTGGTCTGATGGTTCTTCATAGGAGACACTTCTGATTTTTTTGTTGGGGTACGCGGAGCTTCTTCATCCTCGTTATCTTCCTCCTTCCTAGCTTCCTCGTTATCTTCCTCGGGAGTCTCATCTGCAGATTCTAACCGCTTTTCCATACTTCCCGTTAACGGTGCTTCTGTTGTGACCACGGTTGTAAGCTCGGGTTCGAACGCCCCTGGCATTTGACTAGGCAGTACAATTGCTGAAACTTCATCAATTTTTTCCGTCTCCGGTACTTTAGCCTTTTGTTTTTCGGTTTCAGCTGCATCTTTCTTCATATCTGGAGCCGATTCTTGAAAAGAGTTCTCAGCAGAATTTACTTTCATTGCTTCACTCTTATCCTTATGGAACAAGCTCATCGATTCAGAATTAGCTTCTTCATTCATCAGCTTGTCATCGTTGTTGGTAGTATTAACAGAGTCATCACCCATACCCTTCTCTTCAGTCTTGGCCTTTTCATGGGCAAACTTCTCCCTTAAGCTTTGAAATATACTCTTTCCTCTTGCAGGAGCTCCTGTTGCTGTAGAAGATTCAGCAGTGCCCTTCTCTTCGGAAGACACTTCTTGTGTATTTGAGTGTCCGTTTGAAAGATTGGGAGTGGCTGAGAAAACTGACACTGACGGTGGAGTCGTCGGACTTGATTTGATACTTGAGTTCTCAGGGCTCTCAAATTGTTTCACCTTCTCCAAAATTATAGACTTTTTGGGCGTTGAGGGCGACTTTTGAGAATCTGTTTGTGTTACCAGGTGAGTAACGCCTGAGTTTATACCTGCTCCGTTGCTTTCCGGAGTTTCGCGCTGCAATAACTTTGAATTTTGAAGCCTTTCAAATAAAGAGGCCTTTCTGACAGCGCCTTCCGAAGACGATGATGCAGGTGCTTTTGTTACCTCACCATTGATATAATTCTCCTTCGACTCAGGGATTCTGGCATCTGTCTCAATCGTACTTGTTGAGATACCCGAAAGATTCGCCTCATCCATACTCATGTTCCGCTCTCGTTCATCGTTATGGTCTTGACGGTTTGAAGCATTTCCGTCTGTTGATTTCTCTAGATGCTGTTTAGGAATATGCGAATTTTCTTCCAGTGGGTTCGAAATTTGTACTGCCACGGGTTTTGGAACAGAATCGTTAGCCTTCTGGGCATTGATCTCCAAATTTGGCACGGGAGCCCCTAAGACTGACTTTGAGTCTTTTGAGTTATCCATCGCATAAGAGGATTGTAGCTTGTTTGCAATCTTTAAAGGTCTAACAGAAGGTAACTCCATCATATTAGCTTGTTTGGATTCCTTCAATGGAGATACATGGGGTGTACTATCGGGTTCGGTAACGTTCCCATCGGTCAACTTGGAAGTAGCAATAAAATCACAGACTGCAAAGGCAACTTCGGCAGCCGCCCTCTCAACAACAATTTTCGGAAGAAGTTGGCGATAGGAAGCAAAATATCTTGTTGCGGTTAAAGCATGGCCTGCAGCCTCACGAACAAACTCAGAGTGTACACTGGTACTCGACATCCTCTCTTTACCTTGAGAGGCAATTGAATTTGCAGTCAACGCGATTCTGGAAGCCTTCTCAAATAGCATGTCATTGTCGAAGTTGTCACTGTTGAGAAGAAGGACGAATGACTCGATTAGAGCAAAGAAATTACTCGCCGTGCTTAAAGGAACAACACCTGTAGAAGAAACATATCTTTTGATATCCTTTGAGTTTTGAAGAGGGTGTTGAAAAGCACTTGTAATTCTTCCTGCTTGCACCTCTTCGTATCTCTTCTGCCACTGGATAACTTCTGATTCTAATTGTTCACATTTGGATTTGTTTGCTGGTTCCGAGGGCCTCGTGTCTAACTTTTCAAGTAGCTTTTGTAATTCCACTCTTAAGTCAACGGGTTGAGTAGATATGGCAATATTATTGCTGGGGCTTTGATCAAATCCTCGTTGTTCCATATTGGACTCAGAAAGTGGAGTTTTGGGTGTTTTAGGTTGTGAATTTTTTAAGGCGACGTTTTCTAACCGCAATGCAGCATTTGCAGCCTTCAACATATCAAGCTCTTCTATAACATTCTGAGGGACTGATTGGTCTCTGTTATCTTGTAAATGTGCAAGCAGGGTTTCAAGATTTCTATTCGTAGAAGTCACAGACTCATGCTTCTCTAATAACTTACTGTGAGCACCTTGTAAGTCGCTTAATCCCTTTTCAAGATCGATATTGCGTTTTTCCAAAGCCAATAGCTTTGCTTGTAAATCAGAGTTTGCTTGAGTTGCTTGATGTTCATCCCTGTTCACGGAATCCATAAGGTTCTCTGGTGAGGCTTGAGACGAAAAGCTCGCAGAAGCCGCAGGGTCAGTAACCTTCTTCGTTTGGTTAAACCCACTGGGCAAAGATATCCTTCTTGCTGTTATGCTCTCCTCTTCGTTATCGTGATTCAATTCCACATCCTTAGTATGACTAGAATTAGTCTTTTCTATGGTCTCGCCATGCAAGTCTTGTTTTATATCATCTTCACCTTCTTCGTCACTCGACCAAGCCAAATTCGCTTTTGTAGGAACAACTGTCGTTGGTTGGACCCCTATGGCTAGTTTTGGATCCTGAGCACCTATTTCTGGGGTTGAGAGGTCATTTTGTAATACTTCATTATTTAAATCATGCAGAGGAGCCGTATTTTTCGCACTAGCATTAGAAGGACCTCTTTCATGTTGATGTGATTGAAAAGAAGAGTGCGCAGCTGGTTCCGACCCGTTTGATTCATGAAGTTCGTGTTTTTCGTTAGCAGACTGGTCTTGGGACGACCATTGATGGTGGGTGTTGCCTGCATTGTTTGCATCGGTCTTTATAGATGAATTACTGAGATGCAAGTTTCTGCGTTCAATCTCAAAACTAATGTCAGAAACAAGATCTTTGAATCTCGACTGAGGCAAGGAAGATAATTTTTGTCTAGCTTGGTTTCTTTTCGGGTGGAATGTCAGCTTCGGAAGCAAAAAATCGGGTTCAGACCGACTTTCATCGATTCGACGTTTCAACTCGTCGTAAACATCAGTACTCAATTCTTTGAATTGGGCTGATGACAACTTCAAAAGTTTTTCTCTGGCTCTCTGTGCTCTTGAAGAGTTTGACTTGGACCGAGACGAACTGGTATCATCTGAAATATCAAGAAACTGTTTGAGCACTTTGTAGTAGCGCAGCAAATCTTGATCAGACATAATGGCAAGATTATCAGAATCTCTGGAATGTAACTAATGTGTGTTACTAGAATGCCAAGATATTGGAAAAGAAAATACCGGTCGGTGTTGTTGAAGCAGAGAAGAAAAGAAAAAAAAACACCCCTACTTAGGGCTGTGTGATGGATCGAAATGGAGGTAGGACGCGCCTTTTGATTTGGCAAGACACGAATATGCGTCCAAACAAACTTGAGGCACGAAACTTTAAGAGTCAGATGCACAATCAGACGCACAAGAAAAGTAAAGGACAAGATCGAGTTTTCCTCCGAAGCACAAGTCCATTCTACTAAATCGCATATATATTCTGTAGCAGGTTAATTCTCTTTTTCTCATTATATGTTTTTGGGTATACCTTATTCAGTGTATTATATACGCAGTCGGTTCGGTTTTCTAAGAGCCACGCGCAACGTGGAAGCGAAAAAAAACGAATGTCAGACCGCCAATATCCACGTACATGTGTTGACCGTATCTTTGCTTGGCACAAAATACAAGGTGGGAAATTTTAGTCCTGTGAGATCAACGGCGTTTCCTCGTCGACAATTTCAACACTCACGTCTGACACGTCCGACTGAGTTGGGCTAGTCTCAACCCGAGTTTCACCGTAGGCTGGGGCGTATCCCATTGTTTCTATAGACTGGAGCATCTTCTCACTCACATTGTACGCAAACTTGGTGACATCTTCGTTGGTGGCCAACAGCGAAGTAGGCATTGGTTTCAACACCTCGATGATAATCTCGCCTCGGTTAAACACCTTGTCTTGGGACTGGAAAATGTGGCTGTAGTTCGAAACGGCAACGGGCACAACTGGAATATCGGCCTGCTTGGCTAAGTGGAATGCTCCCTTTTTAAATGGACCCATTTCCAATTTCTTGGTGGCAGACCTTGTTCCCTCGGGGAACATGAAAATCAGGCGCTTTTCTTTCTTCAAGCTGACAAGTGCAGCCTCCAACACTTTTCTGGCTTTGTCACCTTTGGCTCTGTCCAAGAAAAAAGTACCAGAAGCCATCATGAACCAGCCCAAAAATGGCACATACTTCAAGGCCTTTTTGGCCGTAACTGTATAGCCTGGTAAAAAGACTCTACCCAAAATGAAGATATCCAAAGCAGACTGATGGTTTGCCACGACAACCGATGGCATTTCCTTTAAGTAATGCTCATTTTTAATTGTGATTTTGATTCCCAAGAGCGCCCTCATGGAGTAGTAGAAAGCCCTAGCCACTGTGTACTGTGCATATTCGCCTTTGCCAATAATCCTCAAGACAATACTAGCAAAAACACCATAGAGGGCACAAGCTGCAATCAATGAACCAAAAACGACCGACTTGGCGAAAAATTTCAAGCGTCCGAGAAATCCCATGGTACTCTTTTGAAAAAGGCGTGACTTTTCGCTCTAATTTAATGTGATTTCGCGAAGCTACTGGGTGTTGGGTGGTATATTTTGGGCAAAATAAGCATTTCCTATACTTAATGTACGTATCTTCAATGTACTGAATGTGCCTCTTGGGAAAGTATACCTCTCTGCACTGAAGGCTTCTTTTGCTGTGTTACAAGCATTCTGATTCCGCTGGTCTAAATATCGTTATGCTAGTGGAATTACGTTTTTCCATTATTGGATCTGCCTCAGCTGCTCAAGTCGATAATCTACGTTTCTAGAAATTTACAAGCACTTCTCCGTCACTTGTATATCCTCTATCTAACTTTTCGTATCTACATGTATTGGACACTCTTGTGGCGATTTTGCAATATCAAGGTTTCTATGCCTGAAAATGAGATCACTCAACTAATCACCACAATGGAAACTAGACAAGGTTTACTCAAAAAGTTGTGGCTCTACACCGCTGCTGCGGTTACCCTAGTTGTTGTTGGTAAAAAGCACATCGCATCGCATAAGGAAGACAGACATAAGCTCGAAAGTGATGCTAGCGTGGAAAACCCGGAGGAGTTCGGTGACCACTCTGTGAGACCAGGATTTCCATCCAATAACCCAAACCTCAACTATAATGTTGAAGGACGCGAATCCAAATTTGTTGGTGCTGGGTGTTCATATTCCTCGCGTACTCCAGGCGATAGATTGAGCATTTGGAATGTTTTGAAAAGTCGGTCGCTGAAAAATGACTAGGCTACCATACTTATGACAGACTCAAAACTGAGCCTTTCACATCCATGTAAATACATATGTTATACAATTAATCAAATCACTTTTGAAGAAGTTCTTGGAAGGCAATCTCGTAGATGCGATTAGTCTCAAAAAAATTTTGAAGACACCAGCCGCACAAGAAGTTGTCCAGAAGTTCCTGGAGGATCATCACAATGTTTGATTTCACCTGGTCATCCTCGTTAAAGAGATTAAGAAGTAAAAGCTCAAATCCCTTGTTCTTATCAAAGATAGTCAAGTTCCCGCCATGACTTGAACTCATGAGACTAGTAGAAGAGTTTGGTGGAATTAAGTAAGTCACAAGTAGAAAAGTTTCAAGCGATTTCCCGCTTATTAGGTATTTGAGAACATTAAACCAAATCTCACGCTCATTAATCCTATGGGTAGTGGCGTTGGAGGAAATTATCACGTTATTTAACTTTTGAAGATGGTGTTGTAGGTCAATCATCAAATTAAGCTCGTTCGCAAGATTTGGTAATATTAAGCTGTAGCTGATTTTCTTCAGATATAGAAGATCTTGAAATTTGGAAGAGATGAGTTGATAACAAGACATTTCAAGAAGTTTTGTTGTATCACTATGCCAGAAGTATCCGACTCCATCCATAAGAAGCGTTGATTGATTGTTATCAGACAAATTAGCGTTGAAATTTCGCAGCGATAACAAAACTCTGACGATCTCGTTCACATGTCTTCTAAAAATCAATTGTAAAGTGGTCAAGTCGTCATTGTAGTTGAAGAGGGAAAGCTGTAAATTGCTCAAAAATTTTGCATCTTCTCCGATTATAGAGTTGGTGGCATACTCTTTTTCCTCCAATTGAGAAGAGACGTGGAACTCATTTTCATCCAAATCGTACAACAAATCCCACAACTTGTCGTTGGACTTGAAAAAGGGATTGATGGTTCCTGCCAAGTACGAATCACATTTTTCTAGAATATCTATCTTGGAAACATCAATGATGGGGAAAACGTTGTAGCTGGTTAAAAAACCAGTTAAGATTCCTCCTCCAGTAATAATCTTTAGAGCAAGCAAAATATGGTCAATGATGTAACCAGCAGAATTTTCATAACTCAAGAAAAGGATTCGCTTTCCAGTGAGAAAAGCATTGATCAAAATGATGATAGGTGGCGTCAGTAGCCCGTACACAGTCATCTCGTTATTGTGATAGGAAGTCGCGAGAGTTGCGTTAAGAATATTGATCAAGTTTGGTTTGAAGTTCAAGTCTGTCGGATTGAAATAATCACCTAGCGTATCTGGGAGCAGAAGAAGCGGCACTTTGATGGGGATTTTCATGTTGTTGAACGTGACAACAGAATTATAGCTGAGATCTTTACGTATAAACAAATCCTCATTGATCTCTTTGATTCCCAAAAGTTTGTTGCGAAAAGCTTCGTCCAGGTAAATCTTTTCGTTCAATGGCAAATCCAATATCGAAGTGATGAGTAATTTTTTGATTACTGACTGGCTTGCTTGGCTTGCTTTCAAGTTTTTGCTATTGATGGAATCGTAAAGTTCCTCCAAATAACGTATATCGTTATCAGCAAAGTACTTGTCAAGACAAATCATAAGAAGAGGCTTGAAATGCTTAAAGTACTTGAGCCTTGTTACTATGCTGAGCGATTTAATTATCGACCCTCTCTTAACATTTTGGTCGGGAACATTGTTGACAATGGTGTAAACAAAGAATGGTTTCGAATCGCACGTTTTCAGGTCATACTGATACTGCAATTTTCCCGTCAATGAATTCACATACAATAGAAAGAGAGTGTAGTCTTCTGGTCGTTTGTGAATTTGGTCGGGTAGCATAAGCTCAGGTAAATATTGCAATCCTTCCAGACCTGGTAGAACATTGGGATATTGGTGAATGAGTGAGGGCCCTTTATCGACATGAAATTCTGCGGTAACTATAAAGCTGATGTTAGGCATTTTTGCCGCCGATGAAAAAAATAATGAAAGGAAATGAACCGGAATAGAGGTGGTTTATTCTGAAGAAGATGACTATAGTCTAATTCAACACTAGACCGCGCGCGACTATTTCTTCGCGTCTAAGATTTCAATACTACATACATCGGTACTAGTATAGCATGTTAAACGTCCGTCTTGCATTAATGGAGTGCTTACAAATACATACAAAAGAACATTTCATTTCGGGATATTCTCGGTCTTCAAAAGAGAGAACCATATACTACACACCTAGTTGTTGAAGTAGTCGGACATTTCTTGGTCCAATTGCTCAGCGGTCTTCTTCACTGGTTTGGAAGGCTTTTGTTTGGGCTTAGCATCCGCCTTCTTCTTTTGAAGTTGCTTTCTCTTCTCGTTGAGCTTCTGCTTCAATTGTTCCTTCTTGGATTGTCCCTTAGCCACTTGCGCAGAAGCAGGCTTGTTGGCGGTGATCCTGGCTGCCAATGGTTTCTTGGTTGGATCGATAATCAACTCCAACTTCAACTTGGAAGCTCCTCCATCAATAGGGGCATTGTTGTACTTCTCCACTGCGAGAACGGCATTCTTGGAGGATTTGAAAATGATGGTGGCAATACCCTTGAAGTTACCCTTTTCGTTGTAATTCATTGACACGGTTTGCACACCTCCAATCTGAGATTGGAAAAAGTCCTAAATTGTTAGTTTTATGTTTTATAAACGTGTAGTCTATCTCTTGCGTCTCCGAAACGGAAGACCTTCCTTGCTGGGTGTCTGTGAATGAGAACTAGTATGTCGGTACAACAACGCAAAGTTGATATCTGTCTCAAGGAAGTTTTTGCTCCCCGACAGATTTCTCGTTCTTTTCTTCCTCTTTCTCGAAATTGATCACTTCATGCATTGGTTCGATATCAACGTATCAATATTTCCAATGTATCGAAGGATATCAAATCATCCACGGCTCATGACGTCACTTTTAACGTATAGAGGCATGTCACACTAACCAATGGTTCCCCCGCAGCAATAGAATGGCAAAGAGATATAACTAAGCGTGGTATTCGAGTATGACTCGTCGGTTTTAGACAGATGGCGATCTATCCATTTAACATACCTTGACGTTTTCTTGCTTCAAGTCCCTTGGCAAGCCATGCGCAACAACTTTAGTAGCATAAGTCAAGTCGATAGCTGGAGTAGCAGCTTTAGGGGCAGCAGCAGGCTTGCTTTTCTTGAAAGTAACAACAGGCTGTTTCTTTTGTGCTTTTCCCACACCTTTACCAACAGCCTTGCCAACAGTCTTCTTTCTGTTGGCTTGGACCTTCTTGGTCTTTCTAGAGGAGGAAATAATGTCGTCCAAAGACTTATCCAAAGCAGTAGACATTTTCGACTGTGTTGGTTCGACGAGATAATACGGACAGTTTCGTTGATTTTTTCGCTCGCCGCTGGACTCCAGACATTTTGTGCAGTACCACACCGAACAGGTTAAGCCAGCAAGAACTAACATGTTGGAAGCACAACATTAACTTTGCTTGAAGAGAAATGGTATGATCTCATGATTGGATGTTTTCCTAATGAAAGGAAGAGTGAGAAAAGGTTATACAGCAACTAAATAAGACTGCACGAAGCTTGAACCCCGACTTGTTGGGTGGTGTATGGATGTTTCGCTTTCTACCACAACACAAATCTCAGCTTAGGACACATCGCGTTTCTACATCAAATGAGCGAAGCACTGAAAAAGGATAAAGTGGACGAAGTGTTGAGATTAAAGGCAGACATTGCAAAGCTAATTCACAATGTCAGGCTACAGACTGCTGTGTGTCAAAAGTACGAAAACGAGAACCAGTACCTACAAGACTACATTGGCTCGGTGATGCAAAGTGGCGACTTGAAATAATCAACACTGATAATTCAATGAACTATATTTACACGGTCAGAAGGGGCATCTAGTCATATAAGCCTACTTCCCTCACATCAGTTGCCAGTTCACTTATGTCTTAAAGGACTCGTGAGATGTTCTTAGTGTTCTCATGTGCAAAGCACACGTCCTCAAAACACAAAAGTATTGAACATCAAATATGATTCAATGCTAATATGATTCAAAGGTAAAAGCGGATGGTATCATTGCAAAAGGGCAGGTTACTGCAACGCTTGTCTCCAAAAAGAAAATGGAGAAAAAGAAAAGACCAAATCCTGGACGACGCAATTGTCTCACCACTCTCTTGATGTGGCTCAACATAGAGCAAGCCACTCCTTCAGGTGATGCTGCTTATAAGTCAGCCACCTTTTTGGTTGAACCTCCTATGCGGGTGAGGCACTTGTGCGTCACAATATGAAACAAGTGTGGTGTATACGGCACTCGGATTTCACCGAGCACAATTATTTCCAGTGTGTATTATTTCCAATTTGAGCAGTGTCAGAGACGGGGCGTGTTTATATGTCCGCCACACTAGATGCGTCTGTGCATCCCAGTGCAGCTCGCAGCACCACTAGTATGTATCTGGAAGTACGAGAATAACAGTCTGAAACAAGATTCCCATTAGTAACAAACAATGCATATGACGTCTACAAAGTTGCGTGTGTAATCTCAGCGAACAATTTCATCGTGGATTGCGCCGATAAGAGTTGCATGCGGAGGCGGACTAAGTTCGGCGTTTGTCGGCTTCTGCATTAACCGAGGCACATCGTAAATAGATGTGAGTCGTGCGTAGCTCGACGGGCACGGCTCCGGATTACGATAACTTATTAGGGAAGGGGTAAAAGAATTTAAGACGCGTGCACAGAGAAGATAGAATTAAAACGAGTCATGCAAAGATTGAGAAAAGCTATCGTAAATACCAGTAGTGGATCAACACTGAAGAATTGAAAGGGAGTGAATGCAGTAAAGAAACAAACATGTCCAGAAGGTCAACTTTCATACTCCTGTTTGATCACCACTGAACTGTTACGGTCCACAATGCCTTTGCACTGGCCACCCTCAATATGGTCTTTCAACCAGTCAGCATTGCTTTGGAATACCTCAAAACATCCTGCGCACCGGCCGCGTGTAGAATTCCTTTCCGAAGACTTTGTGCCCGGAGGATAGATGAAATGCAAAGCTTTTAAGTGCGTCTTGTAAGTGTCTCTACGAGAAAATCCTCCCGTGTGGTGACATCTGGTGCCACTACCACTATCTGCGAGCAGCTCGTTGGGTTCGAAGAAAGGACACACAAATGCATTGGCGTTGTTGTGCTTGCGCATGTGTCTGGTCAAGTATGACTTGACCTTAAACGAAGAATCGCATTGATCACACGAATACTTAAACTCGTCTGCATGTCCTCTGATTTCGTTGTCCGCTGGTCTGACAAAGTCCGAATAGCTTTCTACTTTAGCCTTCTTAACACCTTCAAATTTGGGTTCGTACAGGTTGATGGACCTGATCATGAACGAATCAGATTGATAATCTGTAGATGTTCTTGGCGAAAGAGAGTCCTCGACTTTCCTCTTCCTCATATTAAGGCTCGGCTGTTCAAAATTGACCTCTTTCATTGACCGCTGATTCACAGATCCTTTAAAAAACATATCGTCCAAGGGTGAGGCATTAGACTCGGATGAAGACGCATAGATGGACAGCGTATCAACGTTTGCATGAGAGCCACCAAAGTCATTAAAGTCAAAGTGCGGGTTGAGGCCAATCATGTTTAAGGCAAAATGTGATTGGGTAGACAAATCTTCTTGGTTGAAATACGTTTGCGGAAGAGGATGTGATTGGATTTGGACAAAAGGTACTTGTATCTTCGTATTGGTGTTGTGATACATGTCGTTCATACCGTCATACGGAAGAGAGGACAGAAGCGACAGCGGAGTGTGGGTCGAAAGTGCTGTGGCAGGAGAAAAGTTGTGAAAACCTGGCTGTTCCAACTTGACTGGGCCTTGCATACGAGAAGACATTATTGGCATCGGCTCTGGAGCATTGTTGTGTTGACGATCTCCTAAATGATCAATATTTGGGTTAGATGAGTAACAGGCATCAAGAAATTCGATCTCGTCGTAATTTCCAGAAAAAGAAAGCTCCAAGTCGTCAGCGGCACACACTTTGGCGGTACCACGGATGGTGTTGTTCAAGTTGATAATTTGGGCATCCTCCAATTTAGGAAAAAGTAAGCTGGTCGTTCGTTCTTGAGTGGTAGCCGTTGGCGAACGCTTCAAAACATATTTAGACACATATGCGGCAAATGAAAACTTGGAGCGGAGAATATTTTGGTCAATAAAATAGTGACCAGCCCCAGAGGGCACGAAAATATTCAATCTAAAAGGAAGCATTTATCATTCGGGTCTAGAGAAACTTCTGAGATCTTGCAGTAGCAAATAAAAGATGGGAAGCGGAGTATTGGGAATAATGGTTAACACCTCATATAAGTGACAGGTTTTTATGAAAGAAAAAAAAAACTGAAAGCGGTAAAATGAGTAGGATGAGGAGAAATTAAAAATATGTGCCAGGTAAAATCGCTGGCGATTGAGGCAGGAAATATTTAATATATCAATTTTGCGCATAGATAAATGGTTTTGAGCCTTGCTCTACTGTGGCCGACGTCTCATGTCAAAACAATTTGATAGTGTACCGGCACCAAAAGCCGAGAAGATTGATGGCCTTTTTTACACCCGACTACGACCCCCCAGCCCTATGGACCAGCTCCCATAACCTTCATCACTATCGAAATCTTTATACACATTTGGGAATATTCGTCTTTCCCGGTATTGGGATCGGTTCGGAAAAATGATCGCTGCGGATTTCGCAAAAAAGAAAATAAAAACCCAAACCTCCAGAGTGGTGCCGTACGAGATAAACTGCATATATCTGCGGCGAAAAATGCCGTTCCATCCACAGATCACCTCGTAAGTAGGGGTGTCACAGCCGAAGTAGGTTATCTAGCAGATGAGAGATTGATAGCAACTGAAATGGAACATAGCCGTATCTCCTGCAACCCTGCAACGTCCCTTTCGCCACGGATTTTACGGGTCAAATCCTGCCCACTATATAGTTTTCTGATGAGGATTCATTTTAGAAAAGTTTCTTCGGCCACTTATTTCCGAAAGCGCACAATTTCTTGTATACTCAATGCAACCGGACATGGTGATTCCTGGCCCCTCAATTTAATGAAGATAAGCAAACATAACCTGACTTCTTCATTTACATTCTCTAGTCTTTTAGTGCCGTGTGAGGTTCTTCTATATAGTCTGCTATGAAACGTCTGGACCCATCTTCTTTGCTTAAAACACACCCCTTCACCGTAGAAAACGGTGAGGTGTGCATGTAAGTGGGGAAAGTCATCCTATCTAACGCAATCATGACTGAATTCGCCTCATCAATTAGCCTCGCGTGAGGATAATGAGACGTATGGGATCAGTTGCCAAAGAGTCTCTTGCATGCTGTACCCGCAAAGTCAATCGCACATCCTTTTCTTTCTGTTTGGGAGGTTTACTTTTTACCGCTTTAAGTTGCCCAAGTTGGCAAGCTTTCAAGGTACTCGCGTAATTTGAAGTGCTTTTCGTTCTCACCAGTGCGATTCCGTAGAAAATTGGAAACAAAACTGGGGTCGCTCCAAAATTCGTATACTGAAGAATAGTTAGTAGCCACATTCACAAACCCCTTCTGTTGCCACATTAGAAGCATTTGACATCTTCTCCTCTGTGGCTAATGACCACATTAACATAAAACACCAGTACCTCCTATTTCATCAAGCTGCATCTGTACCAAGTAGAGGAGAAGCTTTTGGTGACCGATGATTTTAAGCCAAGTAATTCTTTCAAGCTGATCTTAATGATAATAGATGCTAACAGTATTCAAGAAAGCTATGAAATAGAGGGTATATTGCACGTGATTGTAGCTCCCGTGATTGTTTACACTATGCACCACACCCAGCCAATTCTGCGATCCTCAGTGTAACGAAAAACTGTCTTCTTCTATTTAGACGGCAATGTCTGAAAAATACCAACAAGAAAATCCAAATGCACACTATCTAGCCAATCTAAATAACCTCAATTTGACCAATAACCTGACTCAACTTGGTCGGTTGCCTACACTTGGCGAAATTCTCTCCAACAAGACCAAGTCTCCAATCAACTTGTACACGTTTTATCTTTACATGAAACATGTGGAAGATTCTCAAGACTACTTAGATTTCTGGTTTGATCTCATCAATCACCTTAACTTGTGCAAACACTACGTGAGAGGTCTTCGGGACTCAATTATTCGGCATTCTGGAAATGGTCAACACAGATCTTCGCTTGCAAGCAACAACCCATTTCACTCAAATTCACCGGATATCAATAGAGACTCGTACCCGCTTTCAGAAAAAAGCAAACATAAGTCGCTTTCTCTGTCGATGCTTTTAGACATGATCATCAATGATCAAATCTTAGAAGATAATGATTCGAATCGGTTGTCGGAGTTTTTAAGAGGTGATATCAACTTGAATACGGTAGATCCGAAATTGAAGGAGTTGATCAACTCATATGATGCCGATGAACCTGTTCCGCAGCCTTCTCCTATCGTTGACAATTCGTTTCCTGTTTTTGGCGAGAAGAGAATTTCATCAAACTCAAAACTTTTGGATGATTCTCCAGATTCAGCTGGAAACAAAGGAAGCGGACTGAGCCACAAACGTCACTCATCTCTAAATCCATCATTTGTTGAGAGACTCTTGCAGGATACCACTGCTGGATCCATGAACCTGTTTATTTCCCGTCAGAATCTCAGAGAGTCTTCCCACAATTTATTGTTAAAATACTTTGTGGAAGACTCTGAAAAAAACCTCAACTTGCCTGAAAAGCTCAACCGATTCATTATTAACTCGATTGAGGTTGACGGAAGAGATGATCCTGATGTCTTCAATGGTGTTAAGAAGTTTATTTTTAATCGTCTTGAGAATGAGCATTTACCGAACTTCTTAAACTTCGTTGCCATCAAGAATGTAAACCACACGATCAACATCCGTGTAATTGTTGGTTTTTTCTTTGCCTTTATCTCTTTCTGGATTGCTTTTAGCTTGATTTTCTTGAAAGAGCCAAAACGTTATCGGGCAGTTATTGTTTTCACGTTTTTCGTTGCATTTTACAATTTGGTATCTGCTGCTTACAGAATAGACCCATTTTTAGCACTCTGTCGCAGAAGCGAGTCATTTATTCCGGGGATGACGTTCATTAAACTCGAGGATTCTTTCATTCACAGGCTTTTGTTAAAGCGCTCCACATTTGTCGTTATTCTCATTTTATTGGCCACAGCTATATTCAGTGTGATCTTTTGTCTTGTTCCAGGACACAGACTTTAACGTGCATTTGGGTACAATGTCCATTATAAAGGAGAGCAACATTTTATGAGGACAAACAACGGTAGTTTAGGTACAAAAGTTTAATATATGAGCATAGGTTTCTGAAATACTCATCCTGACTTCTTGAAGTAATATACTACAGGTTATGCGTGAAACGATGTTTGGATTAATGGTGCCACCACATTGTAAAGTACAAAGTAAGCTATGTATAGAGAATAACTTAAGCCTCGTTCAAGAAAGCTTGTCTCTTCTCCTCGACTCTTTGTTGTCTTCTCTCTCTAGCAGCTCTGTTTCTCAATCTTCTAGCTTCGGCCTCCTCCTTCAAAGACTTCTCACGAGCAGCCTCAGCCTTGGCTTGGATAATGTGCTCAATCAAAGATCTCTTGTGCTTGAAGGTGTTACCCTTAGCAGACAAGTAAAGGCTGTGGTACAAGTGCTTGTCAATCTTGCCAGCGTTTCTGTACTTAGCCAACAATCTTCTCAAGACTCTCAATCTTCTCATCCACAAAACTTGAGATGGCATACGAGCGTCCTTGGTACCCTTTCTCTTACCGTAACCCATGTGTCTACCGTTTCTCTTGGACTCGGCATGAGCTCTAGCTCTGGATCTAGAGTGGGAGGTGACAGGCTTCTTGACGATGGTACCGTTACGGTACAACTTTCTGATAGCCTGACGAGAGTTAGCAGAACCAACTCGGTGGTTTCGTTAGGGTCCAACCAGACCTTTCTCTTACCAACACCGATAACACTGGCAGCGAGTCTCTTTTGAGTTCTAAGGTTAGCCCTGAAAAAGTTAGTAAAATGTTTTTTCATAGCTGATGCTGATTTTGTTTGCTATTGCACCTCTCACATTGGACTTGTCTTTACAAGATCTGTGCGAGGAAAATTTTTTTCTTGCCACCTTGGAATCATTCATTGACCAGATAGTTTTCACATTGCCACTAAATGATGCATTCCACAGCAACTATGCTGCTTGAATGGAATATTCAAGGGAATAATATTCAGCATCAATCATCAATAGAGTTCAAACATTGTGTACATACATTTTGCTTTGCTGTCTGTAGAATAAAAAAACGGAGCAAGAAAATTTTCATTTTTTGAGGAGCATAGTGCGACTGCTGGATTTGCAAATGTGCAGGCACAATGTCGCGCGCAGTGCGACATTGTTTCTGGATTCGGGGAGTTGGGGGGTAATGTCGCACTGCCTTTCGCACAATGAAAAAAACAACTAAGGGTTCGTGCCCTCTGCTTTAACACGTGATAATACGGAGGCTGTATGCAATAAATTTCTAATTTACTATTACATCCATAGTCACATAAAGGGGACAGAGAAAGAAAGGTATTATACAATATCCTTCAATTAAGTTTCAGTAAACTGGGGGAAGAGATTCACTCGCTAAAATCGTATTTAATTGTCTTTTCCATGCACACACTATGCATTGGAGCTAATTATGTCTTCTGATATTAGTACTAGAAGTAGATACATGGTAGAAGGATAAGGAATTCAGCCTTTTTATGTTCAGCTATGTGTACCTATGGATTTGTAGAAAGTGTCTTAGAAGTTGGAGAGTTGCTTGTCCTAAGAACATGTCAGAGATAGATGAGATGTATACAGGTTACTGGGATGAGATGAGAAAAATTACCTACACCACATCTGATTGCATCGAAAATGGCAAAATCATTGAGGTCCAAGCCTAAGTTGAGAGCAAAGTCTATCAAGAGGAAAAATGAGTTTTCCAAGTTTGTTGACTCCAGAAATGAAAGATTGGCTCAAAGAATGAAGGTCAATTTAGAAAAGCAAAAGGAAGAAACTATGGAAGAAGACCCCGTCGAAACCAACGAGCCCAAAGAAGAAAAGAAAATCAGCACTTCCGGATGGAGACAAACAAGCAGACAAAAATTGAAACAGAAGAAGAAAAACAAGAAGAATGTTACCAAGTTTTAACTTGGCTTATGCCATCACTTACTTCTGTATACTTAGATGAATAAAAACATGCACGGACATACGATTTGGGGACGGAAGCATATTTACTTGGGGGCCAAATTAAGGCCATTTTATAGTTAGATTACTTGTTTTAAAAATTGACGCCAACGTATCATTGTCGAGAACGTACTATCAGCTCTCAGATGGCCCTGCATCAAAATATTGAAGTCTTGACTCCGATCGCGATAATATAATTGCACAATTGCGCTCCTCCATATTCGTGGAAGATATACTTGCACACATCTAACAAAAATGGACGGTAAGACTATTGGTATCCTAGGCGGTGGTCAGTTGGGCCGTATGCTTGTTGAAGCAGCTCACAGGCTCAACGTTAAAACCATCATTTTAGACCAGCCCAATACTCCTGCCAAGCAGATTAATGCTTTGGATGAGCATGTTGATGGTTCTTTTACCGATTTGGATTCTATCACCAAGCTTGCTAAAAAGTGTGATGTGTTAACCGTTGAAATCGAACATGTGGATGTGGAGGCGTTGAAGTCTGTCTCGAAGAGCTTGAACATTCCGATTTACCCTCTTCCCGAAACCATCCGTCTCATCCAAGATAAGTACTTGCAAAAAACACATTTACAAAGCCACGGTGTCGCTGTGGTCGAATCTGTAAGTGTACCAGAGAACAACGAAGCCGAGTTACGCAAAATTGGCTCAGATTTTGGCTATCCGTACATGTTGAAGTCTAGAACATTGGCCTACGATGGTAGAGGAAACTTTGTCGTCAAGTCTGCGGATTCCATTACAGAGGCATTGGAGTTCTTGGCTGACAGGCCATTGTATGCCGAGAAATGGTGTCCATTTGTCAAAGAGTTGGCAGTTATGGTTGTGAGAAGTATTGAGGGCGAGGTTTTTAGCTACCCTACCGTGGAAACGATCCATAAGGAGAATATCTGCCATCTTGTTTATGCTCCAGCAAGAATTACCGACACTTTGTGCGAGAAGGCATCAATTATGGCGAAAAATGCTGTCAAGTCCTTCCCTGGGTGCGGTATTTTCGGTGTTGAGATGTTTTTGTTACCCAATCATGAACTTTTGATCAACGAGATTGCTCCAAGGCCTCATAATTCCGGTCACTACACTATTGATGCTTGTGTTACGACTCAATTCGAGGCACATGTTAGAGCTGTTGTCGGTTTGCCGTTGCCAAAGAACTTTACCTCATTCGCCACAACGAACACGAATGCCATTATGCTCAATGTCTTAGGTGATGTCGAAAAGAAAGATGGCGAATTAGCTATTTGTCGTCGTGCGTTGGAAACACCAAACGCTTCGGTGTACTTGTACGGAAAGGAAACCAAACCAAAGAGAAAAATGGGCCACATCAACATCATCGGCTCTTCTATGGAAGCGGCTCAGGCCAAACTCGAGTATATCATGGGCGAAAAAAGTGAGGTACCCGAATCAATTGTTGAAAAGGAGAAGCCGCTTGTTTCCATTATTATGGGCTCTGATTCTGATTTGCCCGTTATGTCTGTTGGTGCCAACATCTTGAAGAAGTTTGGTGTTCCATTTGAGCTCACTATTGTCTCCGCCCATCGCACGCCTCACAGAATGTCTAAATTCGCAATTGAGGCTGCATCAAGAGGCATTAAAGTCGTGATCGCCGGCGCAGGTGGCGCAGCTCATTTGCCAGGAATGGTCGCAGCCATGACTCCTCTTCCTGTGATTGGAGTTCCGGTTAAAGGCTCGACTCTCGACGGTGTGGATTCCTTGCATTCTATTGTACAAATGCCTAGGGGTATTCCTGTGGCAACTGTTGCTATCAATAATAGTACAAATGCTGCTTTGTTAGCTGTGAGAATTTTGGGTGTCAGTGACTACAAATGGCTCGAAGAAATGGCCAAATACATGTCTTCTATGGAAGAAGAGGTACTCGGGAAGGCTGAGAGATTGGAAGCAGTTGGTTACGAGAAATACTAGTAATCTAATACTGAATGATTGTTTGACGAGTTATATTTGTACAAGTTTAACAGGGAAAGAGCGTAGGAAATCAACCCTTCGGATACCCGGGGCAATTTAGTTTGAGACATATAGGTAGGGAACGACAAGATGTAGGAACTATTGAAGGACTGGCACAATAATTATTTAGTAATATTGGCCGGCAAAAGGAGCGTCTTCAGGATTACTCCTGACTGATGTTAAATCAACATTAGCTGATGGGTGGTAGATTGGGTTGGCGAATTGAGCATATGGAACATTGACGGGAAGCTGGCGGACTCCACCGTAATTCGGGTTATTCATATGCGCCAAGTCCACCTCTGGTTGATTTGGTGGTACTTGATAAAGTGGATACTCATGAACAACATGAGAAGGACGTTGTACATTGTATGTTTGGTAAGTCTGAGGACCAGCTCCAAACTTGTTGTGGTTATCAGGGCCACCTGTAACGTTACTCAAGGATTGTGGTAGTAATATTCTTGCAGTGGAGGAAACAGCCTGTGTAATCTCATCGACTCTAGAAAATTCCCAGAGAAGAACGGCCTTGATCTTATGCTTGGGAATTGCAGACATTGGTGCTTCGGAGCTGTTATAGATGACTTGTTTCACAGTAACCCCCTTAAATGCTGCATCCAGACAAGTAGGCTGTTGGAGCAACTGGAGGAAAAAACATTTCCAGAACTTGAGTAAAAAAGGCTGGGTTGTATTAACTTGAAAGTCATCTTCATTAACTTTGAGAACTTCATTACCAAATGAATAGACAGTGGTAAAGCTCGAAAGATTTGAATTAGGCGAGGAGTACTCAAGCATATAACTGGTTCTCAATCCATTATCGATGGAGTAATCATCCGGTTTTAAGAACGGGTTAAATATTCTTACCATATTGTGGAATACTGGTACAGGCAAATTGGCGAAGTCTTCTAAGCCAGGAAACCTGTTCGAAATGGCTGCATTTTCTTTGATGGTCAAAGTCTTCACTTGACAGTCCTCTTGTACCGAAAGATACGTTGGTCCAACACCGGCAGTCATGCTTTCAAGAGAAAAGCAAATGTTTTTAACACTCATAAAAGAATTATGCAGCTTTCTCCTTCTTTGTACTGAAGAAATATTGGCAGAGGAATGGCGGCGAATGGGGCCGCCTCCTTTCGCTGTTGAAGTATAAATGGAGTTCACCCCCAAAGATTTATTGAGGTTTATTTTTGTGAAGATCTCTTCAAAAAGGTGCGAGTTCCTTTCAGCTTCTTCTGGGGTGTCAAATGTTGGTCCATCATTAATGAGCTTTATAAGACTTGTTTTCACTCCCATATTCTTGATAACTTGAATATGACTCGAAACTTGTTTACGAGAACGGAACTTACCAGTTTTCGCAAGAATGTAATCTGATATAAGCTCGTTGCGGCCACAAGATCTACCACCAATCTTGATTTTATTAAGGCCATTTTTGGGAACAATTGCAAGCACTTCTTCAAATGCCTCTTGAACGTCCCTGCCCCAAATATTATCATCACCTGTAGGGCAAGACGAAGTGCTCAAGGGAGTGGACGAGGTCCCGATATGATCTTTTGACATCTCTCCAAAGGATTCGAGGTTACCAAATTTAGAAGAAGGATCAAGAAATGAACGAGAAGTGACAAGTTTCTCTTTGGTATCCATTGAAGGCAGAAGAGATCCGGTTCTTTCGCTAAAACTCTTTGGCTCATCATACAATTCAAGTGTGTCCAAGGATGTTTCCGAGAAATTAGCAGATTTTGGCATTTCTCGCCGAACTAGTTTCGAAGTTTCGTGTACTTGATACATGGTTTTCCCGTTAGTGTCAATAGCAATATCTACTATCATGGGAAGTTTTTTCATGACGGATGTAGCGGACATTTCACTGGACATGTTCGCCACGGTCTTGAGTCTAATAAAGGAAGGAATGTGGGTCAGACAGGTAAGGAATGTGAGGACTCGGCGGTTTGAATGTTTTTTTAAATATCAGGAGAAACCACTAACGACAAACAAACAGGATAGATTGAACAGAAACAAAAACAACTGACAGCCGAGAGTTTAGAGCAAATTAGCGTCTAGCGAAGTTCTGGAGCGCTCTTTGTGACCAGAAACAGAGGGTCTAGCCAAAACTGCGATTTAACAGGTATGACCTGAACAAAAGCAGACGAAAGTTCAACGGGTAAATAAAGCAGCGAATCGTCTGATACGGCTGCAGTTCTTTGTTCGATGCAAACAAATGTAACCGTGTGCCAAGTTGTATGCGCGGGTGGTAATGAGTGTGTCAATATGTAGATACACGAGAGATTGAATAAACAAAAGTATGTGAAAGTGCGAGAAGCGGCAATATAAACAGAGGACCTCGGCCCAATTACTTCTGCACAGCTGACGTAGGCACGGCAATGTATAACGTTGGCCGCAGGCGCAAATGACTTTTTTTGCACGCACTCGTCTGTTTACACGACTAAGAAATAGTTTTATGCACCCGACGAATTAGGAAGGTGTACCTGCGCCTGGCCAGGGGATCGACATGCAGGTAACCCAATGCGCAGGTACGACGCATCAACTTGCGTCGACAGGACATATGCGGTCTAGTGACTTCGGCATCTAGAAAAAAAAAAAAGCAAGATGAACACAGAAGTGGAACATACGAGAAGGGTGACGATAACAATAACATACGCAAGAATTGCAGAATACGACAAGGCCCCCTCACTCAATGGCTCTCACTTTTTTCATAGGCATTGCTGCCTAGACGCGTCCCTAGATACTGATCGAAAAATAAATCGACAAAGCTTACTAATGAAGTTAGAGAAACGACTCAGTCTAATCTCTGGGCCCCCGACAACTGGGAGGGCATATAATCACCGAGATGAGTTTATATGTAGGACTAGTTGCTCCGCTCTCAAGACGAGTAAAGGCAGTTTCACAGTATTATCATTTGTCGAGACGGCTAAACGGACACATCTTGATAATTGCCGCTTGTACACGTGAGAAAGAACTGGCCTGATTTTCCAGGCATCTAGGAATCTAGTAATGACATGTGGGGTTATCGAATGCCGATGTGGTCCAAAGGGGACCTAGACCCCCGGTTATCATTGCCACAAAACATTGTTTTTCGGCTCTTTTGTTCGGGCTGCGCGGGCTGCATCTTACGAAGCAGAGGGCGGTAGTGCGTCACTTCTAGCCATGCATCATTGTAAAGTATGTACAGTATTATACGCACGAATCGGGAACGACTACATAAACATCAGCCACACAACCTGGTTGTCAGGTTCTAAAAGCGGGTCGGTTTCCACTTCTGACAACTCCTCCTCATCCAAAAGATTTTTTGCCATAGATGGTTTCAACGAAAACTGGATGCCCTTGCTGTTTACGAAAGGAATAGGGTACCCCGCATTTGCGACTGTATTTTCCACTTCGCGCCGGCCAACATCGTTCCAGTAAGTATGCGCTTTTACTGCAGTTTTTCGCAATGCGCTTGAGGGTTTGTGATCACGCACGATCGGCTCTAAAAGACGTTGCAACTGCGCATCTAGTTGCATCATGTCACTAGCTTCAAACAGACGGATCTGCTGTAGTATTTCATGTAAGGTCAAGCCTCCATCTTTGGGCCTGTAGTTGGCAAGCAAGTGCCCAGTGTCAATCTTATCTATTATATGCTCCACAACGCCAGCCGCAACTTTATTAGCCGGGAAATATATGAGATCGGCCATATCGAGTTGTAAGCTCAGATTTTCTTGCTGCAAGATTTGTCTCTCCTTTGTCGCCTGTGCAATGTCGATCACTTTCCGCAAGTCTGCCATAAGATAGTGGCCAAAGTCGATCTTCTCTATTATCTCCTGCCGTAACTTTGCTCCATCTGGCCCGTGAAGCTTTGAATTAGCATCTATGAAGTTTGCCAGTGACATTAGGCCCTCGGAGGTGGCATGGCGGACTAGCGGTGCTCCACTTTTCGCCTCACGCTTCAAGCACCAGTAACGACAGATTTCTTCACTGGCAGCACGAATTTCTTGACGAATGTCCTTCTTCAGGGGCTCGTTAGTGGGACCAAGGCCTCGAAGCATAGAGCGTGTCTTCTTGGGACCCTCAACCACACTCTTGTCTACTTTCAACTGGCACATTATAGAATACACCACTTCCACAAACATAAGTGGGGCGATTGGTGTATTCTGTTCCGTTTTCCATTTGAATGTGTTGACTCGGTTCTGACGTCGTCTTTGAGATGCTAGTCTATCGTTCTTTTGACTTAAAATACGACTATCACGGAAAAACATACGGCACTTTTCAATTCCTTGAAGCACTATGTCACGGTCCCAATAAGCTGGGGCATGGCGATCGCAATAGGACTTCAACAGTGCTTTTGATGCTAATGCGCCTTGTACTCCTTTTTCCATGATCATATAGAGACCTGCTCTTTTGGCACATGTAACATGGTAGGCTTGGAAACACGAGCGATTGGCACATTGCATGCATGCACCCACTTTCTGTCGGCATATGTAACACACCAATTTCCACCGATTACGTGGAATATGATCGATTCCCTCGATGGGCTCCATATACACCGGGTTTGCAAAATAGAGCTCGTGGATCCACAAGGCACAAACGACATGGCTCCATAAGCCATTGTCTAACTGTTTGAATGCACCTGTATCACTAGGGCAAAATGCACACTGTATTCTTCTTCCTCGGCTGACCATGCATTTTCGACAAAACCATTGGCCTTCGGGAATAAATGCAATACCGTAGCATTCTTGGTGCACTGCTATATTACACCCGTCACAAAAGACGATGGCGTTGCTGTTGTCGCATTCCAGATCATTGCATACGGCACATCTCTGTTCCGAAATGGATCCAGCACCACCAGTTCCATCGTCACTTCCATACCGCTCAAAGTTCTCCTCCAATGTAAGAAAGTCCCTGTTGTCTGTAAGGGATCCACCAGCAGCAGCCATTCGCAACTCCAACTGATGCCATTGTTGTTCCAAGACACTCATGACAATCTCAAACACTTCCGCCAGAATTTGCGCTCGATTATCTGGCAAAGAATTGCGCCACCGTAGGAACTCGGCATCTTGCTCGTCCATATCGTAGCTCGCCTGGTGTGTGGATGCTTGTGTATTACGAGGTCGAATAAAAGTTGTTGCCGCTCTCCTCTGTTGACGTCGAAGACGGAAACCAAAGTCTGCGACAGACCGCGAGACATGAGCTTCGTTAGAGTGTTGTCTTTTGACCCTTGAAAACACTGCAGGCTTGATGGCCATCTGTTCGACCGAAAGAGGACCCACATTGGGACCAGAGGCAGAAAAGGTGTCGTCCCTTACAGAAAACGCTGGAATGTGCGCTGACTCGTCAAGATCGCTATAAAATTCTTTGAAGTCGCGCTCCTCACGCGGCCGTGAATCGAATGGTATGTTGACCATGGGTCTGATTTGACGTGGAGGTGTGTTTTATCACAGATATGTGTGCACCTCTATAATCCGGATGTCGCGAAAGAAGCGATGCGGTCATGAACAACAAAGCGACAAACAGACATCAGGAGATTGTTATTACTACTAAGGCCCGTGTTGTTCCGACCAGATACTTTTATCAAATTGAGGTGGTACTTATGCATATATGGATAGTGGTGCTAATGACGTTTGGTCATACCCATGCTTGAAATACTTGTGTCCGGAGTAGAGAGGTGCTTATGTAGACGCGACTTCCAAAAGATTGTGGAGAAACACACATTCATAGGCTGAGAAGGTCAACAGTTTTGTTTAAACGATGAACTACGCGTCCGTCTTGTCTACTCCAAAACTTACAGAGGAATCGCTTCAAAAATTTCGAATGCGGTGAATCGGAGTGATACCTCTCCATTTTAAGAAAGAGATGTATGCGAAACAGCACGCGCTACGAACCTGGGAGTTGCAGATTTTCGGACGTTGAATATACGTTGAGAATGTGTTCTGACCAATTGTTATTTTACTTCGGAGCAAATGCTTCATGACGTGCGAACTCTGAAATTTCACGGTTTTGCATCGTACTCGTTAGTCACGTTGCACTGTGATTTAAAAACTCTCGAAAGTCAACGTCACACGAGACTTTATAGACTTATTCCACCATTAGATAATGTTAAGCGATATGGATCCGAAATACAGAAAGTCAAAATAATAGAAAACTCGCTTTTTAGTAAAGCAGGGAATCTGTTTGCAGTGTTTTCCTCATATTACACAAGTTTGGGGCTCTCCCATACGAGGTACATTCGCACAAATGGAGCATTGAGAGGATGATAGATAGTGGCTTGATTGTCAATGAGGAAAATCACTGTAAGAAAAAAAAAAGTTACGTAATAAGAAACTCAGATACTTCAAAACACTGTTGATTTGGTTTTAGGATATTTCTGATATTGTTGACGCACATGTGCATTGGAATTGAGTTTCATTGTGGATACTTGCATTAGCCTATAGACAGTACTGTATTTTTAAAACCACGCAAGACTAGTCTTTCCATCAGTAACAAGGGACCACGCTGTGTGCAGTTCTATCTGGGGAAGCTGAAGGTAACTCGAAAAAGTGCAAGAGCGCAGAATCATTTTATTAGATATATATTGTGCTAAGTAATATTGCAGCGTTCGAAATCCATTCATTCATTTTTCCACCGTATTTAGAGCTAGACATACCAATCCTTTCACACTATATAGTCTGTACTGCAGATAGTGTCACTTGCTGTTGGAGCCCCACAGAACGGAGATTACCTTCCACCAGAAACCACAAGTACCGCAGGAAGTATGGGCAACTCTGCATCTTCAACCAGGAAATCTGCCGCCGCTCTCCGCCATGCGGCTGCATATCGCAAGTCTTCTCAATCTGAAGCAGCAAGCAACAACTTGGAAGAGGAGTTTAGCACACTAATCTTGCACGAGGTCAAGCGGCAGCAAAATGCAGACACACGGGAACAGCCTGCCACGAGTGTCCAGCCGGATAAACGAATCAACCAAATGGAAGACGAGTTCAACGAGTTGAATGGTGATCTTTTGGATCACGAAATTTATGCAGTGGAACGCAATATTTTGCCAGACGACGCTTCAGACACTATGCAAGTGGATGCGGCAGATGACACCATGGCCGAGCATGATAATGGACTGGTGGACCTGGTCAGTGACTTGACTAAAGTGGACTTTACACGTATCGCTGATCCAGCGGTGGCACGCCAACCGTTAGCCCGGTCTACCAGCACTTTTTCCGCCAAAGAGACTGGATCCGGTTCCGTGGTTGGGTCTGCGTCTGCTGTGGATTCTGCTGCAGGGTCAGTCCCAGGGTCGGGAGCTATCTCTTCGGATCCGGCATTGGTCCCTGTGGAAATTAAATGGGTCAATCTGCAGAAGCAACCAATCGGCAAGGTGTCCATCATCGGGCTGTTTTCAAACTGGCGCGACGTGATCAAGCTCAAGCGCCTGCAGCTGTATCCCAATGAATACTCTACTACCGTGCGGTTACCTCTCGGGGTTCACAAGCTTCTCTATATTGTCAACAACGAGTACCGTGTGCTGGACCAGCTTCCGACAGCAACGGACCAGGAGGGCATTTTCTTCAACTGGTTTGAGGTTTTGGACCCCCACCGCTTGTTCAACCAGTCGCAACATCCGCACTCAGATGCTTCGTCGGGGTACGACGCCAACATAATACAGGTGGCTGGCCAGTACGATGCGCTGTTAATCCAAAAGAAGTCTAACAGCTTCTTGTCGCGTGTGACTCGGGAGGAAAAAGACCTGCCTCAGCATGTGGAGGTTGTTCCTGATGCGGGAGAACTGGAAGAGCAGTTTGTGCCATATCTCAGCCATTCTGAACTGTCTTTGGGCCAGGAACGTACACAGCCTGAAGAAGAGTTTTCGTCCGAGATTCCAGAGATGTTCGTCAACTATGACTACTTCAAGACAATGGCACCGAATTACGAGCTTCCAGAACCCCCGCAGTTACCTGCGCATTTGAACAATGTCCTTTTGAACAAAATGTCATCGAATCAGCTGCAAAACCATGCACAGAACATTCCCCATGTTGGAGATTCCAAACGTCCATTGTTACGCCGTGCTGATAGTTCGTACTATGCGTCAAACAAGGAAGCATATCACCAGTCGATTCCAAATCACGTAATTTTGAATCATTTGATGACCACGTCAATTCGTAACGGAGTGTTGACAGTGGCATGTATCACTCGTTATTCGGGGAAGTTTGTCACGCAGATTATGCATTCTCCAACGGCTGGTATGGGTGAAAATCTGTAGAGATGTGGCAGGGCCATGCTCAATTTTGATGGTACCTTTCCAACCTTTTAGGAGATGCAGAACTGTTTAGGGTAGTATTTATTAGCAATTATAACTGTCGCTTGCGGATTTCTACTGTATGGTTAATCATATGGTTGGAAATTTCAGAAGGGCAGCTCATTGCCTCACTAATCATACATCTCATACACCTATAGTAGTCGATGCAGTGCTTGTGTGATGGTTCTGATTTATAGAGATGGACGGATCTTGGCTACTTATTCAATTCAAAAGTGATATCTAGTGTAACTTTCAGCATCTGCAGCTTCAACGCTTGTCTACTGGCCTATTTGTAAAATTAAATCGAACCTGCAACATAAGTGAAGCATGGCTGAAAAGTATATGGAGGCTATGTGAATCTTCAAGTTTCGCGTCTACACCTCTCCAACTGGGACTCTCCAGAAGATTGGCCGCAACTGGTCACTTCGTTCACTACCGGGCCACGCGTGTTCTGTTTTTAGATATCCTTTCAATCTTCTTTAGCTGTTTGAAAAGGAAAACACAAGCAACATTTTCTGGCAACCAATGTCTAGTCGGTGTGATGTGATACTACAAGACGATTGAAATCCTTCTTGCAGAGGTGCGCATCCTCTGTATTTGTGTAGCGGCACGTTCGGGTGCGGATGCCATCACTTAGTGTAATCTCAAGTTCACTTAGCAAAACCCATTCGGCCCAGTCACAATTCCTCTCTGTTATTCCATTCTTTCATTTTTATCTTTTCAATTTCTGTGCTAATGTCGTGGACAGGCTTCAAGAAAGCCGTTAATCGCGCTGGCGTCCAGGTCATGCTCAAAGCAGGCCAAATGGATGAGTCTACAGACCCGGAATTCGACTATCTAGAAAAAAGATACAGAACCATGGAGTCCTCGATGTTGCGGCTTCACAAGGATCTCCGGTTGTATAAGGAGTCGCTCCGAGCATTGACCACAGCTCAGGCTGGGGTCACGGAAGTGCTTTCGGACTTCTACGGAACTGAGGAGAACAACATTGCCCATGTCTACCACAATGCCATGAAAGGAATCATCACATCTGGGGTAGATGAGCTTGAGAAACCATTCAGCCAGACAGTGTTGAATCCCATTGAACGATTCAACTCATACTACGTGGATGTGAATGAAGCTATCAAGAAAAGAGCACATAAGAAGCTTGATTACGATTCGTTGCAAAACAAGGTCCGGCGTCTCAGTGACGTAGCCAATTTGGATAAAGCCAGTGTTGAGGCACTAGACGACACAAAGTTCAGAGAGGCGGAGCAGCAGTTCCACGAAGCCGAAGAAAAGTACACGAAGCTAAATTCGCAACTCAAGGAGGAGCTTCCTGAATTGATCGCTATGCGGATTCCATACTTAAACCCGTCCTTTGAGGCATTCGTAAAGATCCAATTGCGATTTTTCAGCGAGAACTATGCTCGAATGGAGGAGGTGCAAAAGAAATTGGATGCGCAAACACGCGAAGATTTTGCTTCGGGTAAGTTGGAAGAGCGCATGGATGAGGTGTTAGGCCAAATCAAAAAGCTCAGCACCGCCGTTTAATAGCTTGGGGTGTATGCGTTGCTGTGCCGCTCGGCCGTTAGGCCGTTATGTACCACTGTGCCACAATGTACGTGGTGTCGAATATGCAAGATTTCTCATAGGTGCATAGAAGATTTCTTCACCACATGATTGCCGCATAAGAATCACAAGGTGAACCATCAAGATCTCGGCTCCGATCGCACTTTATCTAGCTTTAATTTTCCCATTTGCATGTTTACTTCTTTTGCCTAGGGAGGAACTCTCTTGCCTCATTCTTGTAAAAAAAGAATCTTCTCTCTGTCTTTTGTTGCTCCTCTCTCGTAGTGTATCGACACGAGTGCGCGCGCAGATAAGCACATATCAAAGAAGTGTGTTCCTGATCGTATCTTCTGCCACACTCGCCACTTCTTCCTGGCTTTTTCACTACACCCCGCATGTTGCGCAAAACCCTTAGCAGGTGGACGTCTAAGCATGAGGATGAGTCGAAGGACATGTGTGCCTTTACTGAACCCTTCTGGCAGTACTACGTCGACTCGCTTACTCGTCAGCAAGGACATGAGACTCCAGATTGTTTAGCAACTAACCCACAAAAATACCATGCCAGTTCCTCTGCGGTGGTTCAAGTGAAAGCATTATTCGGGCCAGAGCTTCCTCAGCCGTCGACGTTCCAAGTTATCTCGTCTCTCAAGTCGCCATTCAGTCAAGGCGATGTAGTCAAGGCATACCACTTCATCCGTTACTTCCAAATCAGTGAGAGTGGTTTTTTCATCACCAACGATGGCCTGGAGCGTACAGGTGCACAGATCCAGTTGGTAGGGGCCGAAAACTGGGAAAATGTCATGTGCTATCTCGACTCCCTTCTATTCTCTATGTTCGCCAATCTCGACAGTTTCGAACCCATATTGTTCATTCTGAATCAGCACTCAAATCACTTGGTAACGCAACTTCTGGGCTTGCTTCGAGTGTATGTTAATCTCATGCGGCTGGGTAATCTCATCACCACGGATATTACCCAAAGATTATGCGAATGTCTCATGAAATTAGGCTTTGAAGAAGCCCTTAGCCATAGACAACAGGATTCCGCTCCACTCTTTGAGTTTCTTACAGAAACTCTTTCAATGCCCCTTCTAACGTTCAGGGTTGAAATCCAGCATCACGGCAAACATGAAGAGGACGATACGAAGTACTCAAGAGAGAGAATCTTGTTTGTATCCGTACCAGGTGATGACGATGACGAGCATAAAGAGCCGGTGAAGTCGGCAAATGAGCATGTGGAAGTGACTGACTTGGAAGACAATTCCGTGCTTTTGGAAGAGTGTTTGGAGCATTACTTCAATAACTCCATTTCTGTGAAGAGAGAATTAGAACGCAGAGCCACTTTAGACAGCCAGCAGCGGCCATTAAAAGAGAGTTTTATTGATCTGCTACCGCTGACTCCGGCTGCTCGTCCACGTACAAATTCAAATCTAACTTACGGCAGAGGTCCTGATATCAATGCACAGACTAGAACTCGCGCATCTACACTATCCATATGGTCGATATCAAGCTTCGAGTCTAAGCCCCGAGAAGTAATGCTTCCCGCTTGGATGCTTTTGCGCCTTTTGCCATTCTACACCGACGATAACAATGAGGATATTGTGCGTAATTCTAAAGAGTTCGCTAACCGCAGGCCGGTGGTTCCCATCTGCTTAAAACGCTATTCATTTTCTGCTGCAAACCAGCAAGCAAGTCGTTCGAAAAAGAAAATCATTATCCCTCCAGTCATTGACTTGCCTCTGTTTGTTGCAGACGATGACCAATCTGACGAAGTTATGGGCGGCTTCAAATTGATTTTAGAAAGTGCAGTGTGTCACCGTGGCACTACCATTGCCTCCGGTCATTTTGTATCTGCAGTGAGGAAAAATGCTCACATGGACAGTAACTTTTCTGAGCCCACTGTGGACTCTCCTTGGTATTTGTATGATGACATGAAAAACCCTCGTGTCACCACCAAAACTTTTAAAGAAATCTTTGACAAGGAATGGCCCTACATGTTGTTCTACCGATTAGTTTCGGCAGAGGATGATGCGAAGCCTCCATCTAAAATGCTGTCCATGAAATCTTTTGGGAAGTCAAGTCCCATGACTGCGCCTGAAGGCTCGAAGACTAAATTTTGGAAAGAAGAGCCTTTGTCCAGGATACCTTCTATATCTTCACAATCAGACCTGGAAGGTGTAGTGAATTCGAGCTCTCGTTTAGACATTACCCATGTCGTATCTTCTATTAGCTCTGAGGGTGCATCGAGTATTCCAATCCCGAGCATTCTTCCGAATACTCCAAACTTTATTGATATCCGCAAACGTTATCTCTGGTACGTCACTGACAAAGAAAAGAATTACTACAAAGAGTCTGCATCTTTCTCAAAAACTGGAAGTCGAAACCCTAGCATCTCTGTCACTCCTCAGTTTCGGAGAAACAGCCAATGGAGTGATGTCTCTAATATCAGTGGCCTTATACTTGAGGGAAACGAGGTGCCGACAAGAAAGGCGTCTGATAAAGAGAAAACAATACCTGAAAAGGCTGAGAAGGAAGAAGTGGATCCATCATTGGCCCGTGTTGAAGAAAAAAAGGAAGAAGCTCCAAACCTGCACCACAAGGAGCATCACTTTTCACATCATCACAATACTAGCAATCATGAGAGTGAAGCATTGTCGCCGTCATCAAAGAAACACTTGCGCAAGCGGCGAGCGGATTACAAGCATGAAAAATGCGTTATTATATGAGGGCCTTTTGTGCCATTTTTGTTAGTCTATCATTTTGTATCTACTCATAATAGACGATGTCACCATTATCGCCAGCTACCACAACTCCTGTGCTGTGATGTGGATGGGACTTGATGCAAGAGACGTAGGAGTTGCTGACTTGAATCCTTTTTAGTAGTTTTCCCAGGTTCCAGCTCCAAAAGAAGGCCGATCCATCAGCATCCCCACTCATGATTATTTTACCGTCTAAGGTACAATCAATTTGTATTCCGTAGCCAGCTACTTTATGTCCCTCGAACTTCTTTCTTTTGTTGAAACGAAATTTACCACTTCCTTGTATAACCAGGATAGTATTATCCATAGTTTGAAGCGCTATGAAATTGTCTTTTGGATGTACCACTGCGCAAGGCATTGAGTGTTGAGTTGGATCAGCTATGATCTTATCAGGTATATTGATTTGCCATCTCCAAAAGCGAACAGTACGATCATCAGAGGTAGACATGAATCTTGAATTACCATCGACAGCCGTTAAAGAGTTAATTGCACCTAGATGGTGATCATACACCTGAATCGGCTGTTGAAAAGAAGCCTGGGACAAATCAAAATGTTCAATGTGTCTATTAGCGAGACCAACTAAGATCTCATTCTCATTATTTGGGTTGAATATCACCGTATTTGGAACAGCCCTCTAACTTTCAAAGGTTTTGAGGAATTAGTACCCCGTTTTTGTATTCCCCATTAAAATAACTACTTTTGGTCATAAGAGCAACTGAGGAATGTATTCCCCAGTACTATTGAATGTCACACACTTAAACTGCATGATTTATGACCATAGAAGCCTCTCAATAGTTTGTACAGTGACATGTCCCCAAAGATAGATACGGCCATCAATTTCCAGCTGATAGAAGTAAATGTCCTGATTGAGGAAAAGAATTGAACGCTCGTAACTCCGCTTTGATGGCCCTTTAGAACAGCTTTGACCTTTGTTGGTGGAAACCATTCAACAATATCCTTCTTGAGAACATTTGCGGGTTCCATATACTCAAAGTCCTCGAATAACTCCGTTGCATTGGTGTGTCTCTCTTTGTGATCAGCAGGTATTGGTTCCGCTTGGTCATCACTAAGCTCTTCCGGCTCAACATATTTCTCATTGTCACTGGAGTCTGCAGCTTTTGCCCACGGACCCAAGAAATCCAAGCTTTCTGGATTTGTCTCTTTCAATCGCTTTTGCCGAAGCTTCTTCTCTTTTTTTGGGTGTCTTTTCCTTTTAGTTTGTGCTGGGGAAATAAGCGTCGCTATTCCACCATACGTTATTAGGGAAGAAGGTGGTGCAGTCTTATCAGTTGACGACTTCGGTATTCTAGATTCTGTTTTAAAATCGTCTTCATCGCTACTTGAATCGTAACCTGATAATAAAGGCATCGGTAATGGGAATAAAGGTAAATCTGGGGCACAGGTCACGAGATTGCAGAACCTCATTTTTCGCGATGGCTTCCCATCTCGTATCTCATTAACTCGAACTATCACTGCGATGAGCAAGAGAAGAGTAGACGACGATTCTGACATCGATGTCAGTTCCACAGACGAGTCCGATGTTGAGACTGGATCTAAGGAAGAGGAAATGGAAGAAGTTGTCAATGTTGACTTTGATTACTTCGATTTGAACTCGAAAGTGGACTTCCACGCTACAAAGACATTTCTTCGTCAGCTTTTTGGTGATGATGCCACACAGTTTGATATTTCTGGCTTGGCTGATTTGATTTTGGAAGGAAATTCTCCGGGCTCTACCATCAAGACGGAGGGAGAAGAAAGCGACCCCTTTGCATTGCTCTCTGTCATCAATTTGAATGAGAATTTGACAAAGCCTAGTGTCAAAAACCTCATTGACTACATTTTGCAGAAGACGAAATCACAACTCGAGTTCAATATGATTTTGAGTAAGTTGTTGAGCCCTGAAAAAACTACCAAGGATCAATCAAAGCGCTTGAAAGTTGGCTTGATTGTTAGTGAGAGAATGATCAATATGCCAGTGGAAGTGGTACCTCCTATGTACAAGATGTTGGCTGAAGAAATGGAGAAATCTGAAGATGCTCACGAGAAATATGAGTTCGATTACTTTCTTGTGATTTCCAAAATTTATAAATTGGTCAATTCTAACGTGGATGAAGAAGAAGACGCACAAAAGTCAAAGAAGAAGAAAACTTCTGAAAAAGATGCTACTGAAGAGTTTGACTACTTCCATTACGAAGACATCATTTTGGAGGACAATGCTAAGTACCATGGTCATTACTCTTACACCAACCAGCAACAGGAGACAGATTCCCGTAGAGTTTTCACTGAATATGGAATTGATCCAAGATTAAGCTTAATATTGTTAGATAAGAAGGGCTTCATGAAATCCATTCCTGAAATGGAGGAAAAGTTCCCACCTTTTTAATGTGAACGATGATGTATATTTATGAATTACTGTTGTAATGTTTATATTGTGCGTTGCCCAAGATTTCATGTAATGTTTTGGTATAATTGTGAACAAACTGCGAAAGTGCGGTCCTAAGAGGAGGGTAAACTCCATAAAAAAATAAGGACAACACTATCAGAAGAAAAGAAATAGCTGATACCGTAGAATTCAGATCGTTAAAACAGATAAAAGTAGTCATATCCACTCTTTAATATGTGCTTGGTCATATACATTGCCCTTATTGAAATTCAGTGAGAATGCACAATACATGATGCATAATAAAATATTCATCTAAATATATTTTAGAGAATGAAATGCTTTTCGGAAATAAAAAAAACCAAAAGAGATCTGATCAACTCTTTTCAACGCGTCAAAATGCCTAACCATCACTTCTACTCCGATAATACCTTGCAATGGGTTCCTTGGTGCTACATCCGTGTGTGCAGGGAAGATGAAAAATTTGCTCACTAAGATTTTGAGCTAGCGTATTCAGATCAACACCTGTGAACATGCCTCCAGCACACAAGAACCAGGCGTTGCGTCCTGAAAACATTTTAAAGCGTGCCGAAGACCTTATTGGCGTCGGAGAAAGAGAAGCTTCCCTCGAAACTTTGTATGAGTTTATCACCTCCAAGAGAATTCGTTACTTGCAAGTTGAGGATTTGGAGCCTATCGCTCTGTTGCTTATTGAGTTGGCTGTTGACTTAAGAAAGGGAAAGTTGGCCAAGGATGCTTTGCACCAATATAAGAAAAACGTGCAGATGTCTGAACACGGTTTGGAATCTGTTGAAGTAATCGTTAGACAGTTCATTTCTTTGGCTGAGAAAAAGTTGGACGAAGCCCAAGCAAAGGCTGACATTAAGATCGATCAAGACGAGGAAGAAGATTTGGAAGACTCCCAAACGCCTGAAAGCATCTTGTTGTCTGCTGTCTCCAACACAGACTCTGCGGACAGAACCGAGAGAGAATTGGTCACCCCTTGGTTGAGATTCTTGTGGGAGGCACTTAGAGCTGTTTTGGATATTTTGAGAAACAACTCCAAGTTGGAAGTCACATACTCTGCTATTGTGAACCAGGCTTTCCAATTCTGTTTGAAGTTCAACAGAAAGGCTGAGTTTAGAAGGTTATGTGAGCTCTTGAGAGCACACATGCAATCTGTCACTACTCAGGTCCCAGCCAAGGGTACAGGCACAAACATTAATGCTGTTGATTTGTCTGATCCTGAAACTGTCCAACGTTATTTGGAACAACGTTTTGCTCAGTTGAACATTTCTGTCAAATTGGAATTGTGGCAAGAGTCCTTCCGTTCCGTTGACGATGTGCACACTTTAATCACAGCTTCTAAGAAGGCCCCTAAGCCCGTTATGATGGCTAACTACTATGAAAACTTGGCCAGAATTTTTGCTGTTTCAGACAACAATTTGTACCACGCAGCCGCTTGGAACAAATTCTTCAATTTGTTCTCTCAATCCCCTAACGCCACCGACAAGGAGTTGAGCCACTACGCCTCTGTTCTTGTTTTGTCTACCTTGGCGATCCCAACAAAGTCATTGAATGTCAATGAAACTGTTGTTGACGAACAAAAGGCCAAGAACGCCAAATTGACCTCTTTGTTAAACTTGAACCAAGTGCCAACGAGAGACAGCTTGATTTCCTCTATTGTCAACAGATCTATTTTGAAGTTTGTGGATGAGCCAATCAAGAAATTGTTCGAGATCATGAGCGATTCTGAGTTCCACCCATTGACTGTCAAAGAAAGAGTTGCTGAGGTGTTTCAAATTCTCAAAGATGACAAAGCTTACAGCAAGTACATTCCAACATTGACCGAAGTTGTTTTAATTAGATCTTTCCAACAAGTTTCTCAGATTTATGAGGCTGTGAAATTGGATTTCTTAGTTTCTTTGGGTATTATTGAAGGTACTGAGTATACCTTGACACCTTTGGAAGTTGAAGACTTGATTGTCAATTCTGTTAAGAAAGGTCACTTGTCTTTGACTATTGATCACGAATCTCAAGTTGTTACCTTCAAGTCCAATCCATTCGAGGATTCTTTCAATGACTCTTTGTCATCTAAGTTGCAAGCTTCCCCAGCTGAATTGGTCAGAAACCAATTGTCCAAATTGGCTTACGTTTTAGCAAATTCTGTTAAGGTTATTGACCCACAAGCTGAGGCCCGCAAGAAGCACAGAACTGACATCGCATTGCAAAATGCTATCGCTGACTTTGTTAGAGAACAACGGGAAATTGCAGAACGAGTTGAAATTTTGGAAGAACGCAAAAAGATTGCAGACAAAATCAAGCGTGAGGAGGAAGAGGCTGCAGCTAAGGCGAGACAAGAGAAATTACTTGCTGAGCAAAAGGCCGAGCAAGAAAGATTAGCCAAGGAACAGGAGAGAAAGAACCAAGAGCGTTTAGAAAGAGAAAGAACACGATCATTGAGAAAGATAAGAGAAAGATAGCCGAAGAGATTAACGCTAAGGGAATCACTCACATTGATTTGGACAACTTGGAGGATTTAGATACTGACAAGTTGCGTGCTATGCAAATTGAGCAATTGAACAAGGATAGAAAGATTTTGGAGGAACCGATGAAGATTGGTTTCAAAAAGGTCGACCACTTGGAGAGGGCTTTCAGAAAGTACGAGTTGCAACTCTTGTGCAAGGACGCTGA